ATAAGCACCAGCTTTCAAATAAAAAAAACCATCGAAATCGGTTCATCTAGAAAAAAGTTCTTGAAGTACACATTAAAAATACAGTCAAATTGAGTACTTTCTCCTTTTTTTGAAGGCGGTTAAAACGGTAACTAGGTAAATTATTTGAATTTCAAAGACGTTCACGTTGTTATAATCTCAATGTTTCTCGAGTTTGCATATTAACCTTCCTCACATTCAACAATAATGTTCTTATCAGCAAATTACTAATACATTGCATAACACTTCGGTGTATTCTACTACCAACCATTATCCAAGGATTAAATTTTTCTCACAACACCTAACCTTACAGTTTTAACAAAGGCGCGTAACAGGCTAAATGATACAGATTCTCGCGTTTGGTGCATTTTGATTTAATAATTATGTAATCGGTAGGCTATTTTAACGAAGGTCGTATCCGAGGCTTGCAGTATTGTGAACATTAGCGACATTATAACTAGGTTTAAACGCGCAAGTTTGCTATCAGTGATCCTTCTGTTCTTGCACTATTATTTATTCTGTGCTTAAATTATAGGTACGTCAGATGTAGACTTTGACTCTTAAAATTTAATAACCGTTATTTTGTAGACAGAAAAAAAGACAAGACTCTAAGTAAAACAGTTGTAAATTAAATAAATAATAAAAAGGTACTATATGTACTGTGTTTTGTTGCTCTTTGTTGAAAGCTAGGTAGCCACAGAATATCGTCCGTGACGTGGGACGGGGATAAGATACAAAGCCATACATACGGACATTTAGCTTACGTGCGTGATTTATCTAATTAATAATAAATATGTAAGCTATTAAAACGTCGGTAAGTAGCAAACATCAAAGAAGTGCAACTTCTGTACGTAGTACCACTATTTATTCTATGCCCTAGAGATTCTAGGCCTAGTCACAATAGATAATAGTACTAGCTTAGTTAATTGACACCATATCTCTGGCGTGTACTAAACACAAGCGTTATCATTACCGCTGTGCTTTTCAAAACTTGTATTTGGCACTAAATAAACTATTCTTATTATTGTTTAATTACACGCGCCGTATAGTAGAAACAGGAGACGGGCGGCAGCATTTTCCTGATGACAACTCAAAATAATAAAACAACAGCCAACCCGCCTCCAAGCGTGCACGGAAATAATACCATTGCGAAATTACTTTATAAAGGCCAGATAATAAGCAATATATTCTGATCAGTTTATAAATCAAATAAAATATGGAATTAAAACAAGAGACAAGCGTCTAGATCAGAGATTATCAAACTTATTTCTTTTACGGCCCCCTTTGAAAATCAATTATTTTTCAGCGCCCTCAATTTTTTATACACTCCTAAAACTTAAAAACCACAATTTCATTACTTTAATTAATTTACTTATGGTGTGCTATATTAGTCGGTTCTGGTGTTTAAACTTACATTCTAAACTAAATATTATTACTAGTGAGAGCAATTAAAACGCAACTTTATAATATTAAGAATATATTGTAATCAAATTAAAAGAAACAATATAGATAGGTAATCAATTTTTGTTTTAAAACTAATCTAATGAGATGGATGAATTTGATGATTTTAACAAGTTTGTTGATATCAGGTTCGATATTACTCAAAAACAGTCGTAAGTCGCCCCGTTCGGGTAACATGCAAATGATTTATTTTTTTAGTAAGCAGCGTTGTCACAGCGCTAAATCCACGTTCACATACATATTACGATGGGAATGATATTAAAATCGTTGAACGATTGACCACACTCCAGGGTACAACTGGCGGGATTGACTGTTGTAGGCAAAATTCTTGGTAGACATTTCTGAACTTGATTTTTATAATCCTCGTTGTCAGTTCCATAAGTTCTTTTTCCAGTTGGCGTGATACTGCTATGTTGACATTTGAAAAAGGATCTAATACTCAGTCTGGTATTTCCAATTTCAAAATGTTCTGGAATCCTTCTATGAAATCACTGTGGAGATTTTCCAAATGTTGGCAGTAGACAAGCAAGTCGTCGTTGTTGCAGGATACTGATAAATTGGAAAAATTATGGAACTCATGTCTGCAGATATTCTTCTTGTGTAAGAGCAGCTTGGCTACGAAAGCAGCGACGACATTTTTTGTTTTTATTAAGTTCAAGTCATCGCCTTGAAGTTGGAGATTCATATCATTAAGCTATTTATAAATATCTGTCAGGTATGCGATATCATTCTTTGATGAGATGAGGTTGTCGCGCAATTCTGGGTCTTTGTTTTCCAAGAATTCTACGACAGAGTCAAACAGATTGTAAAATCGAGTCAGAAAATTTCTATTTCATAGCCAACGCACTTCTGTGTGAAAGATCAATCGGTTGAAATCTTCATCATTAGTAACACAAAGCTGGCCTTTTTGGCACCACGTCATAACTGGAGCACCATCTGTAGCAGCTGATATAATATTATCCAAGGGAATTCCTTTTTCATCACAAAACTTTTCCAGTGTTTTAAATATGGTTTCTCCTTTTGTGTTCGTGTCTAAATTTCTAGCAAATAATAGTTCTTGACATATTTTTTCATCTTTAATAAACCTCACGTAAGACAGAAACAATGCCTCATTAGTTAGTAAAGTGGACTCATCCAACAGAATTGAAAATTGACTAGTCTTCACATGATTGCACAATGACTCTTCAATGTTTTCAGCCATTTCATCAGTTACTCTTTGCACAGAACTATTGCTCAAAGGAATTTTTGGAATTATGTCTGCCGCCGGTTTATGGAGCACAGTCGATATAACTTCTTTTATTGCCGGCAAAATTAACGTTTCTCCGTTATTGGTGTGTGGTTTACCTGTTTGAGTAATTAACAAAGAGGTATTGTACGACGCTCGAAGTCCGTCATCGTCTTGCTTAGCAGCCACCGAAAAAGTTTTGATATACTTGGCTGAGCATTATGCTTCTTTTCCAGGTCTTGAAAATAGGCTACATTTTTGTAATTCTTATCTGGATGCATTTTGTTCAAGTGATCTTTCTTGAAGCCTTCATCGCTTCGTTTGAAAATGTTTTTGAACACAGGCACAAAGGCAAAGATGGATTTGTCGAATTTTCATATTTAATATATTCTGCACTATATTGCCGTCTCTTCTTTTTTGCTTCCGAAATGGCTTTGCTTTTACAAATATGTAAATAAAGTGTTGAACTTAAATACTTGTTTAAAGATTACCACTACCACTAATGAAAATATAAAAATTATTACGAGCTTTTATATAGGATTTAAATGCAGCACGTACCGACAGGAATAAGATAAACACGCACAAACTCGTATATCTCTTTCGACGCTCAATCGTACTGAGCAAGTTAAGAAAAAGTATCGATGAACCAGCCGATTGCTACCGGATTGCATCAACAGCGTTATTTAACAACTTGATTGCGTACGGCGTACGGGCTATCCTACGAAATCATGTTAAGTATTTCTAGTTTATATACCATCATACAGGGCAGAAATATAAACTAATTATTCGTAATTGAGTAATAGGTAGGTTTTAATTTTAGTAAGTTTTAGAAATATAAAGTATCCGAATTAAATTACAAATCAACCATCACTAAACCACGCCAACGAATCCCCTATAGGTATCCAACGCCCACAAGGGGGCGTTATCGCCCACTTTGAGAAAGACTGGTCTAGATAGAAATTTCTGTACACTGAATCGCTATACTATTGTAAATGGTAAAATTTTAATTTGTGGGGATTCCACCACATTATTACACACACCTCATATATGCACACAGAAACACAGTAACACTTACACATAAACACATACAACACCTACAGTAAACGTAATTAATTATATATTATGTAACCATTATAGAACAAGCATTTAACACATTGGGACCATTGTGGATCGACCTTTTTCTAGACAGAGCGGCCGGGGATTGAATCGCGGCGCTCGCGCATATCCTGTTGTACTTGTATCAAGTTAGTTACCTGCTGATCGCCTCTGCGACTAGACCCTTGTAACACCTTTGCGCCCGCGGCTAACCACGTACTGTTTATTTGTTAATGCTATCTCTTACTTTCTTGCTTGTGCTATTCTTTGTAACTATTATTGTGCTCGCTTCCCTTCTGACTCTTTATTGTAGTGTGCTTTGTGTCGTGGACTATTAAAAGACTGTGAACGTTAATATAAACTGTTTTCTTCACTAAACCTACGACGCCTTACGCCATAAAAATCTACAAATTACAGCCGATATGGGTACATCCCTCTGCTAGGTCTTCTCTCATTACTGAGAGGGTTATGGAAAAGCTAGTCTGCAGCCTAGCCCCGTTGTAGGACACTTTACATGTTCTCAAAATGTTTATAATTACAGACATGTATGTTTCCACATGATGATTTCTTTCAGCGCGAAGCAAGTGGTAAATTAGGACCGATACACATCGACAAGTACAGTAGCGAGTTTAGTTACAGGACAGTTGACATTAAACGGTTAAGTGAGCAGTTGCGTTCAAATGTCTTCTTAGCGAGTTTAGTTAAAAAAAGTACAATTTTATATTTTGAGCACGCAAACATGTTGTGTCCTGTCAACGTATCCACTGACCTAAACTCGCTCGTTCACACGCGGCGAGTTTAGTTGCGGGTGGCGGGAGACGCGCGGGAGGGCAGCACTTCGAACTTGACTCGCCAAAAAATAGACCAGCCGGCTATAACGTTCAACTTAATTGTTAATTTGCCATTTAACTGACTGATTGCCGTTCAAACAAGATTTTTTTACTTAACTCGCCATGTTCGCAAGTTAACTCGCTACTGTACTTGCCGAAGTATAAATCGGCCTTTACAATTATATCTGCAGCGTGGATCGAACTAGAGTACTATTGAAACTTAAGAAGAACACCATTCCTATTTATTAATATTATTTAACGAATTTGACATTTTTTTTAGATGTAGTTGACGTCAATATTGGATTTAATGTTAATTTTAATCATTCTATAATAATTATTATTATTCTATAGTAAATAGTACAAAAACTTACATTATAAAGGATAAGAATAGAGAAGAACTGAATGAGCGAGTACAGAGCCATATATTTGAAGATAGCAAAGGAAGTACTAAGAGCGCATCGTCCTTCTAAAGCAAGTAGCTTCACGCATCTTATATTCTGTTCTTGAGAGGTGAACGGAGCTGCCACTATAACAATAATGATATAAATGGTTAATAAGTTAACTACGAAAATAATATTACTTATTTTTTTACTTTATTTTAATTTATTTAGAATTTTGATATTCTGCAATATCAATATAATCATTACATCAAAATATAATCATCATCATCATTATGGCCTATCCATATATAAGTCCACAGTCAGTCAGTTAAACATTGGTCTCCCCCACTGAATGCCACTATACCAATCCTGAGCTACCTGGGTCCTTAGACTTTCTCCCTCTGTTATAAGGTCGCCACTCCATCCAATGCGTCACTTCGAGGCTGTCATTCAAGAATCTTTCTTCCCTATCGGATGTCAATTCTTCGAACTATATGGCCGGCCTATTGTCACTTCAGCTTACGGATAGTTAGCGGTTGGGCTATATTGAATACTTGGGTTCTACTATGGATAGCTTCATAACGAATTCTATCACGCATAAAACATCTGAGCATAGCCCTCTATAGCTTGGCAAGTGCCCTTATGAATATAATATACTGACATAATATAGAAATAATATATTTTATTTCTCATGAATAAACAAACATTTATTTTTAAAAAAAAAATACCTGATGCATCTGCTTCAGATAGTGAAATGCCAACATGAGCAGCCTTTAAAGCCCCACAATCGTTAGCTCCATCGCCACACATTCCTACAATTAAACCTTCGCCTTGCAAAGCGGTAATAAGCTGAGTCTTCTGGTCTGGTCCAAATCGACCGAATATCATGCCTGTAAAAAGTAATTGAATGTTTTTGTCGCGGAATAGTAAATACAAGAGTAAACTTAATGTAAACGTAACACGAATGCTACAAATAGGTGCAGTACTGCTGCACAGCTCAACTACTCTGAATATAGCAGTGCACGCACTGCTGCTTGGTGGTGTAAATAGATATGAAGGTACAACTATTCAGACGGACGTCTAAGCAGAAAAGTAGTTTTTTTTATAGTATAAGGGTGACAAGCTAGCACTAGAGATGAAACGGATATCCGGTAACTATCCGGTATCCGGCCTATCCGGCCCAAATTACTATCCGGCCGGATACCGGATAACAAACTGCTATCCGGCCGGATACCGGATAAAAAAATACAAAATATCAAATTTAGTTAAGTATTTCATTTATGTCACTTAACCAATAGAATCAGTGATCACAAAATTTTCATTTTAAATCTTAGAAATTTAGTACTTGTACTGCACTAAGGGCAAATTATTGTGAATAAATACTAGTTTCTCTGCATTGAAAGGTAACATGCGGTTTCGCCTGTCTTCATAAACAAGGCCAGCTTCAGAAAAAAGTCTTTCATTGTACACAGTGCTGCACGGTGCTGAAAAATAGATTTTGGCAAACTTCGATAAATTTGGATATTGTGTAGCATTAGCTGCCCACAAAATATAAGGGTCACAATCGCGAGCAATTCACACTGACTTTAGATACAAACCAATTTCACATGAAATCGGGTTTCTTTCTTCATGATGAGACAGACTAGTATAATTTTCATTTCCTACTTCATTGAAGCAATCACAGAACGTGTAATGAGCTTCGCGTGATACAGCTGACTCTGTCTCCTCTACTATACTTTTTTAACCGGTGTTGACGATGAACTGGAGGACTCTTCGCTAGACGTTTTTAAGTACTCCATAAGAATTTCCTGGCGAGCTCTTTCAGCCTCAACCACTCCCAAGTAGTTTGTTTTGAATCTCGGGTCTAGATAAGTAGCAATCAAGTTGATTTAAGCAGTTAAAACGACTCTCTTGTTCAGCTTTTAACGAGGCCCGCATGTGTGGTAAATCCGGCGTTCTTTTCTCAATTTCATCTTTATCTAAATACTTTTTAAAGCAGTAACGTGTGGTATAACTTCCGACACGCAGGACAGACCAGAACTTGTTATTTATGTTATTTCTTCAAAAGGTTTCAATAAATTTATACATTGCTTCATACAATGAACCAATTGCTAACTTCGCTCATGAACGAAAAGACCGGAAGTCGTCCAAGTCCCGCGTGCACACGATCGCCACCACTAGTGCCACCTACGCAAGTTCGATGCTTGCGATGCACTAAACGGCAATGTTCGGCCGAATATCCGGTGGCCGGATATCCGGCTATCCGGCGATAAGACTGGCCGAATATTCGATATCCGGTATCCGGCCAAACAGCTATCCGTTTCACCTCCAGCTAGCACACAGTCCACCTGATGGTAAATGGTTGCTGTGGCCCATAGACATCTTCCTCGATTACGAAACAAAATGCAGATGCATTGTTACCCGTGAGGAGTAAGATGGAATACTACACTCACTATACGAAACACAGCAGTGTTAAGCTGCTATTTTATGCTGGTATTTTGTAAGAGCAATTGTTTCTTCTCATAAATATTTTGAAAGTAATTGTTTCCTCTCTTAAATATATTTAGAGCACTCGACTGTTTAGTAAATTTTGTATTTCAATTGTTATAAGGTCACAAAGTAAGGTAAATTAATATATAACAAAAACAAGAATACATATCTCAATAAAGTTAAAATTAGATGAGGTCGAAACAATGTTACTTTTATTATAGGCCGACCTTTATTTTCATAATTTTTTAATTAACGTACCTTATACTGGTATATAAACTAATCAATGGTAGTTCATTAATGCAGTTTGCAGCTTTAATTTAATGAAATAGAACTTTATTACACAAGTCATTAGGCTTCTAGATTCTGTAAAAAAGCTATAAATTTTAGCTAAGCTATTAATTGGTATATTTATTTATAAATTACTTCATAAAAACCAATTTGATTTTACAAGGGGTCGCTCGACGTCTGACGCCGGTGTTGAGCTTATGAAATATAATTTTAATGCCTGAGAGAATTCACAAGATGCCTTATGTATTTTCTGTGATCTTTCCAAGGCTTTCGATTGTGTTCATCATGAGATATTAATCAAGAAACTACAACATTACGGTGTAAAAAATTTGGCTCATTATTTCATATTTAAGTAACAGAACTCAAAAAGTCGTGATCAGTGGTAAAGGTTCTCCGGATCGGTAGTATTAATGGGCGTTCCTCACGGCTCGATTCTTGGCCCATTCTTGTTTTTAATCTATGTTAATGACTTACCTTATCTTGTAGGGGACAATAGAATAGAATAGAATAGAATAGAATATTTTTTATTCAATATACATTACATGTGTAATTCTTATTGAAAGTCATTTTTTACTTTACCACTGGTTCGAAAAAACCCTCTGTCCTGGGAAGAACCAGCAAGAAACCCAGCGGGACTTTTTTTTAAATAAATTTTACAATATAAATGATTACGAACTATTTACAAAATTTATTTTAGAAACTGCTTGGAAGCGATCACCTCATTCCCAGGGGTTATTATCAACCATGTATTCATTTATACTATAATAACCCTTTTTATACAGTTTCAGCTTAATAAAACATTTAAACTTGGTAATAGAGAGAACCTGTACACTTTCCGGGACCTTGTTGTAATAGCGTATACATTGCCCCAAGAATGAATTACTGACTCTGTGGAGTCGAGAAACTGGTATCACTAGCTTGTGTTTGTTCCTAGTGTTTACAGAATGTATATCACTTCTTTTACTAAAACTATCTTTGTTTTTGTGAACATACATTAAATTTTCGTAAATATACTGAGAGGCCAAAGTTAATATATTAATTTCTTTGAATTTATCTCTAAGAGACTCTCTCGGTTTTAGATTGTAAATAGCTCTAATGGCCCTCTTCTGTAAAACAAAAATAGTTTCTGAATCAGCCGCATTTCCCCATAGCAAAATCCCATAAGACATTATGCTATGAAAATAACTAAAATAAACTAATCTAGCTGTCTCGACACTAGTGAGACCTCTAATCTTTTTTACAGCATAGGCTGCAGAACTTAGTCTGCTTGCTAATTTGGATATATGGGGGCCCCACTGGAGCTTTGCGTCAAGAGTGATGCCAAGAAAAACAGTGGATACAACAGGGCTCAATTCCTCCCCATTTAAAAACACATTGGTATTCAATCACGACATAGTATTATCTGCTAACGATACCTCTTTAATTTTCAAATTCAAACGGCAGTCAATTAATTATGACGATGTAAATAATGCTCTATCGAAATTAGTACATTGGTTTAACGCCAACAATATGCTCTTAAACGGCAATAAGACAAAGTGTATTAAACTTACAATACCTAATGTAAAAAAACATTCGAATACCAATGTGCTGTTAAATGGGGAGGAGTTGAGTCTTGTGGATACAACTGTTTTTGTCGGTATTACTATTGACGCGAAACTTCAATAGGGCCGCCATATATCTAAATTAGCAAGCAGACTTAGTTCTGCAGCATATGCTGTAAGAAAGATTAGAAGTCTCACAGATGTTGAGACAGCTAGATTAGTGTATTTTAGCTATTTTCATAGCGTAATGTCTTATGGAATTTTGTTATGGGGTAATGTGACTGATATTGAAGCTATGTTTGTTTTGCAAAAGAGACGGTTTCGGGCGATTTATATCCTAAATTGTAGAGTCCCTCAGACAAAAATTTAAAGAAATAAACATATTAACTTCATCATTCATCATTACAGCATTTCATAAGTCCACTGCTGAATATAGGCATCCCCTAAGGAATGCCACAAAGCACGGTCCTGAGCCACCTGCATCCATCGACTTCCTGCATGTCTTACCAGGTCGTCACTCCATCTCGTGGAGGGTCGCCTTACACTTCGCCTACCGGTACGAGGCTGCCACTCAAGAACCTTTCTTCCCCATCGGTTGTCGGTTCTTCGAGCTATATGGCCGGCCCACTGCCACTTCAGCTTACTAATCCGTTGCGCTATGTCGGTTACTCTGGTTCTACTGCGGATATCCTCATTTCTAAGTTTATCACGCATAGAAACCCCGAGCATAGCCCTCTCCATAGCTCGCTGAGCGACCTCTAGGTCGAAGTTGGACTTACCTAGTCGGACTATTTGTCCCAGGTAAACATACTCGTCAACAACTTCGAACTTAGGGCTCCCAACAACTACCGGCATAGGTGTGACATGGACATTAAACATAATCTTTGTTTTGTCCATGTTCATCTTAAGACCTATCCGTTGGGAGACACTATTGAGGTCATTGAGCATAGTGCTTAGGTCCTCCAGCGATTCTGCCATAAGGACTATATCGTCGGCAAATCGAAGGTGAGTGATGTACTCGCGATAACGTCACCCTGTCTTACACCTCTCTGCAATTGGATAGGTTTCGTAGTCTGATTCTGTACTCGGATAGCCATCGTAGCTCTACTGTACAAGCACTTCAGCACTTCAGCACTTCGATATACCGACAGTCAACTTGGCACTGCTGAAGGGACTGCAGCACCGCCCAAATTTCTACGGAATCAAAGGCTTTCTCATAGTCCACATACGCCAGGCATAGTTGCAAATTGTACTCCTCGGACTTCTGTACAACTTGCCGAAGGGTATGTATGTGGTCTATGGTGCTAAAGCCTTTTCGGAAACCGGCTTGTTCGGGAGGCTGGAAGTCATCAAGTCTGCGTGCGAGACGATTCGTAATGACTCTCGAAAACAGCACGTAGACGCGGCTCAGAAGGGAAATCGGTCTGTAGTTCTTCAGAGAGCATTGTCACCTTTCTTGAAGAACAAGACCACTTCTGCTCTACGCCTCCGGTGTAATGCCACCATGGAGGACGGAATTAAAGAGCCTCTGAAGGACTTCCAGTACCGGTTTTCCACCCGCTTTCAGAAGCTCCGCTGTAATTCCAACCTCGCCTGGGGCCTTGCCGTTTTTAAGATGCTGGAGAGCCATTCTAATCTCGCTCAGACTGACGTTCGGGATATCTTCGGAATAGTGTCGGATAAGACTCGCTCTTGGATCGTTACTCACACTTGCGTGTGGCTCCAACGATGACGTGTACAGCTGTCCATAGAACCTCTCAATCTCACTCAAAATCTCAGGTACCCCGGAAACGATGCCACACTCGGTCTTCAGCTTTGACAGTTGGCTTTTTCTGGCAGACAGATCTCTGGCAAAGACTTTGGAGCCTTGGTTCCGCTCGATCGCTTCTTCAATACAAGATGTATTGAAGTTGCGTAAGTCCCGCCGCATGCATTTGGAGATCTGTCTGTTCAGATGCCTGTATGCTGTCAAATCTGTTGAAGAATGTAGCTTCATTTCCCGTCTAACAGCCATGAGATTAAGAGTGTGATCGGAGAGTTTTTGTGTTCTTCTGCGGCGGGTCTTGCAGAACTTAGCTCCGACTGCATGGACAGTTTCCACGAGCTTATCATTCATATCGTCCACTTCATTGCAGTCTTCTAGGCACTGAAAACGGTTTTGTAACTCGAGCTGAAAGGTTTCGGGACTTTGGAATCATTTTGGAAATTGGAAATATTAACTTTGGCATCGCAATATATTTATGAAAATGTAATGCATGTATATAAAAACATAAATAGCTTTAATAAGAAAAAGGATGTGCATACTTTAAACACTAGGAACAAACATAAGCTTGTAATGCCAGTTACTAGATTCCACGAAATCAGTAATTCATTTATGGGGCAATGTATACACTTTTACAACAAAATCCCAGAACATATTCAAAGTTTGTCAATAAACAAGTTTAAAGGTTTTATTAAAGAAAAACTGTACAAAAAGGGTTATTATAATATCAAGGAATACATGAATGAAAATAACCCCTGGGAATAAGGTGATCGCCACCATGCTGGTTCTATGAAAAATCATTTAAAAATTGTATAAAAGAAATTATTGTTAAGTGAAATATGTTTGAAAAAAAAAAGTCCCGCTGGGTTTCTTGCTGGTTCTTCCCAGGACAGAGGTATTTTCCGAACCAGTGGTAAATAAAAATGACTTTCAATAAGTAATATGTAATAATCAATATTGAGTAAAAAAGTTATTCTATTCTATGCTACTTATTTTCGTTCCAAAATAAAACTATTGTTATTTACCTTTGCTTAAGACTGTTGGCATCATTTCAGGATAGTGTGTCCTTATGACAGCCCACGTTTTACCCTCTAAAGCAAAAACATATGCATCCATTGACAGTACTGGTGGGCCTCCCTCACCAACTACCTGTGAACATATTGTGGAAATAAACTAACCATAAACATTTTAAAGTATCAAGTAGATATTTTAAATTTCAAGACAAAACTGACGAGACAATTTAAATAAATAAATAGTCTATACCAACAAAATAATTTGTAGTATACCTAGAGAATATTTAATTCGACTTTTGTGTAAGTTGGTAGCGGATAGAAAATTCACTTTGCCACTCAAATAATATTGCATAAAGTGACTCGATATAATTGGCGAGTTAAAAGTTTGGGACTAATAATTACATTAGTCACTTTTGATGGAATGCTTTATAAAGTTGAAAACAAAATAATTTATTATACATCTCTAAAATTATGCATCAAAAGTTACCTACCTCCATGCTGAGTGGCGGCCGAGAGTCGTTCGTTTGCTGCTGGCCAACAGTAATCAACACAAGTTTCTGATGTGGTTGCACCATATTGCATCCTCTCGCCACCGACATAGCGGTCATTATGTTATCTCCTGCAAATAAAACCATTTTATCCAGACACAAAAGAAGATAAATGTATTGTTAAATATAATAAAGAGAGCAAACCGTAAAGGTCTTTTTAATAAATTTGTGTTTTCTTTCAGACAGGACAACCTTCAGCCCGAGACTCAGATATGTACAATATTCAAAATTGTGTATGTTCGCTAGATTTGGCAAAGTTATTCATTGGTTTAAATATACGGAAATAAACTTAAACATGGAGATATAGAAACCAATCCACATCACATTGTATCAACCACCACTGCTAAGCCACTACTAGTCTAGGTATTTTAAGGTTTGCGTTAGCTGTCATCACACTGGGCTAGTATAGTACAAAGCAGTTACTCTCGCTGTTTCTCATCACCAGTCTGTGATTTTGATAATAAATTATAGTGGGAAAACCGTTCAAAACAATAAACATAAATTGTAAATATTAATGTCAAAGATCAGTATCCACACTCACAATTCCACCGGTAAGGTAATGTGACCATGATTATTATTTATAACCCCCACACCAAAAGTTTGACGGCTATGTGTGTTTGTCTGTGTATTTGCCTGTGGCACTGTAGCTCTTAAACGGTTGAACCGATCTGGTGCTTATTTAAGAGCAGGTTTTCTAACGGTCGTTTTTAGACATGTTTTATCAAAATCGGTTCAGCCGTTTGAAGATCATCAGCTCTTTTTGTTTCGGGGGTTTTTTAAATTTTAAATTTAAGTTATGTTATAATTTCATAATTTATGATTATGTTTTATAAGATTTCTAACTTATGATTAAAAAATATATGTTTTAAAATTAAGACATAATCATAATATGTTACCATGATATTCATTATGGATAAGTTAATTGCAGATTTTAATAAGAAACTAATTGGTATCGGCGCATTGCTAAGCAGAGAAAGATTAATACATAAAAGATTATTACATAACTTACCTACTTATTGAATGTCATTTTTATTTACCACTGGTTCGGAAAATACCCCTGTCCTGGGAAGAACTAGTGATAAACCCAGGGGGACTTTTTTTTTTTTCTCGTTTTTATCATTTCAAATTTGGAAGAGTTATATTGTTTAATTAAGAATGATAATACATTCATCGAAATTGAATGATATATACCTTTCAAACAAATTTGTCGGTAAGATACGCGCGCTACCTAGTGTGAGTTAATTGTACTATGGCTATAAACTGCAAGTATAAACAATAAGTTGTTAAAGTTTTACCGAAATCTGATGAACGGTATGGGAACGCATAAAATACGAACAAAACAAAATTAATTTTTATATATTAGATAAACAGAAAAATAAATTAATAACAATATAACAAACATATATGGCTACAATTTCTGTGTCGTGATTGAAAAAGACAACATGATATTTAATTTTGGCATTCCTTTAGGCTTTTTAATAAAAAATATATAAGTCTCTCCAAAATCTTTCAGAAATGTATGCCGGCTAGCACATTCTTAAATAGGTCTATGAAGGTCCTTAAAAAGGTTGAGCAGTAGATCGAAAATGGTCTGATAAAGAAAGAAAATATTTCGGAATATCTGTGTGGGGTAGCACTATACACTAAGTCAGGTTGTAATGATCAATCATGAAAAAAAAATTAAATAAAAAGCAACCGTTTACCTGTCACCATGACCTGTCTCATGTGAGCATCATGTAGCTCCTTGATTACTTGTGAAGTTTCAGGTTTGAGGCTATTTTGCATGACTAGAAAACCCAAAAACACCATGTCGCATTCAAGGCTCTCCCTTTTGATCCTCTGCGCGTCAACCCATTTCATTTTACGATCGAGCTTCTTATGTGCGAGACCGATGACACGGAAACCATTAGAAGTGTATTCGTGGAGAACTGTGCTGAAGTTCTCTGGAAGTGTTGCCGGATCACACATGCCAGCAACCTAAACAAACAATTTTGTGTTTAAAAAGTTTGCGGCACTAGCATAATATGAATAACATAAAAAATCTTTATTGATCTGTTAAAATTAGAATACTAAAAAATTAGTTCAAATCTTTTTGTAAGCATAATATGAAAATGTATGTACATTTTCATTATACATATTTGAAATTTGTATGTTTGTTCATATACATCCACATTTATTTCAATGTAATAGTGAAGAATTTGAATGTAGATTTTTAGGAAGATACAAGAATTGGTTATATACTCTAAACTCTAGTTATGTAAATAAGAATTTATAACAATCTACCTGATTATATAGAACATGAAGTGGACGATATGAATGACAAGCTCGTGGAAACTGTCCATGCGGTCGGAGCTAAGTTCTGCAAGACCCGCCGCAGAAGAACACAAAAACTCTCCGATCACACTCTTAATCTCATGGCTGTTAGACGGGAGATGAAGCTACATTCTTCAACAGACTTGACAACATACAGGCATCTGAACAGACAGATCTCCAAATGCATGCGGCGGGACTTACGCAACTTCAATACAGCGCGTATTGAAGAAGCGATCGAGCGGAACCAAGGCTCGAAAGTCTTTGCCAGAGATCTGTCTGCCAGAAAGAGCCAACTATCAAAGCTGAAGACAGAATGTGGCAGCATCGTTTCCGGGACACCTGAGATTTTGAGTAAGATTGTGAGGTTCTATGGGCAGCTGTACACGTCATCGTTGGAGCCACACGCAAGTGTGAGTAACGATCCAAGAGCGAGTCTCATCCGACACTATTCCGAAGATATCCCGGACGTTAGTCTGAGCGAGATTAGAATGGTTCTCCAGCACCTTAAAAACGGTAAGGCCCCAGGCGAGGATGGAATTACAGCGGAGCTTCTGAAAGCGGGTGGAAGATCGGTACTTGAAGTCCTTCAGAAGCTCTTTAATTCCGTCCTCCATGGTGGCATTACACCGGAGGCGTGGAGCAGAAGTGCGGTGGTCTTGTTCTTCAAGAAAGGTGACAACGCTCTCTTGAAGAACTACAGACCGATTTCCCTTCTGAGCCGCGTCTACGTGCTGTTTTCGAGAGTCATTACGAATCATCTCGCGCGCAGACTTGACGACTTCCAGCTTCCCGAACAAGCCGGTTTGCGAAAGGGCTTTAGCACAACAGACCACATACATACCCTTCGGCAAATTGTACAGAAGTCCGAAGAGTACAATTTGCCACTATGTCTGGCGTATGTGGACTATGAGAAAGCCTTTGATTCCGTCGAAATTTGGGCGGTGCTGCAGTCCCTTCAGCGGTGCCAAGTTGACTGCCGGTATATCGAAGTGTTGAAGTGCTTGTACAGTAGGGCTACAATGGCTATCAGAGTACAGAATCAGAGTACGAAACCTATCCAATTGCAGAGAGGTGTAAGACAGGGTGACGTCATATCCCCGAAACTCTTCACCGCTGCATTGGAAGACGTTTTCAAGCTTCTGGACTGGAAAGGAAACGGTATCAACATCAATGGCGAGTACATCACTCACCTTCGATTTGCCGACGATATAGTCCTTATGGCAGAATCGCTGGAGGACCTAAGCACTATGCTCAATGATCTCGATAGTGTTTCCCAACGGATAGGTCTTAAGTTGAACATGGACAAAACAAAAATCATGTTCAATGTCCATGTCACACCTATGCCGGTAATTGTTGGGAGCACTAAGCTCGAAGTTGTTGACGAGTATGTTTACCTGGGACAAATAGTCCGACTAGGTAAGTCCAACTTCGACCGAGAGGTCAATCGACGGATTCAACTCGGCTGGGCAGCGTTCGGGAAGCTACGACACATCTTCTCGTCAGACATACCTCAAAACCTGAAAACGGAATTGTACAACCAGTGCGTGTTGCCAGTGATGACTTACGGAACTGAGACGTGGTCTCACAGAAAAAAAAATTTTGAGGGTCATTTAGCGGGATAAAAACTATCCTATCTCTCAAGTTGGACCAAAATGCACATAGTGTGCAAAATTTTATTGAAATCAGTTCAGTAGTTTAGGAGTCCATAGCGGACAAACAACGTGACACGTAATTTTATATATAAAGATAATAATCTTACATTGGCATTTTGTCTTATACTGTTACATAATTAATTATCAAATCAATGATGAATAATTTTAAATAATTTATGTAGTTTAAATTTCGGTAAATATTGCTGTTAGTTACTTGACCATTAATATTTGTAAGTATGTAGTCTACAATATGTAGAACTAATTATATTTGAACACCATTGTACTGTACAATCGTATTATGCTTGCAAATAAACATTATTATTATTTATATATTTTTCTCATATGGTTAGGCTGTATTATCTATACAAATAAATAAAATTGAAGTGTCTGTTTGTAATGTCAAAATAACAGCTTTTTACTAATTGCATATAAAAGTATATACAGCACCCATAACAGAAACGCAATTTTTAAAACTTTTGTTTGTCTGTCTGTCTGTTTGTTCCGTTCCGTGTTGGCTAATCTCCGGAACGGCTGGACCGATTTTGACGGGACTTTCACTGGTAGATAGCTCATGTTATAAGGAGTAACTTAGGCTACTTATATTTTTGAAAAATAATTAGGGTTCCGCGCAACAAATTAAAACCCTAAATTACACGCGGACAAAGTCGCGAGGAGCAGTTAGTATTATATATTAAGATAAGATTAATGTACATAAATATCAATAGAATAAAATTATTAAATAAATAATACATAAATAAATAAAATCCAACCATATAGAAGCCCTCAGCAGGGGAGACCAAACGGCCAAGGGTAAGGGAGAAAGGGAGAGAAACCAGCGGGAGATGCGGGTAGTGTCGAGGAGCACCGCCTTGTGCATTTAAGCTAGGAGCAGTCTGTCACGAAGTCTCAGTCGCCTCAGACGACGCGAGAGGCTGACCGGTATTATCCGTTCGCAGAAACGACCACAGGAATAATCCCGGTCGGCAGACCACCCCATATGTCGATCACCTCATGGCCAGGTCCAGATATTTTGTTTGTTTATCTGTTTCTGCTTTCACGAGGAATGGTAATGTCGACCAAAAATATACTTGACTATGCCAGGTCCATTACCAATATCAAGCTTATTAGCAAGAATAGTCCTATCTGTGGTGATGGCCTGGTCCCAGTGGATTAATATAATAATGAAATGATGATCTACTAAAACTAAAACACTATCCTACATTCATTATCATTTAATTTGTAAAATAAAATAAAAAATTCACTTTTTGAAATTTACATATTATGTAGGATATCATATGTCACAATTGATGCCTTACGATAGTAAGGCATGAACTGTGGGTGTTGCCAAAAATCAGCCAGCCTAACCTTTTCCGGTGCTCCTTTCACGAAATAGACCATCTGTGGCTGTCCAAGTACCCTTGCAATAACACCCATTGATTGCTGAGAAGATGAGAAATGGAATCTACGCAGTAAACCAATCTGTAAGCAAAAGAAACAACATTAAAATGTTTTAAGTAATAGGATTGCATTTTAAATCTAAGAACAAAAAAATCTTCCGTTTGGTTAAATGAGCATTTTAATAAGAAAATTACAAGCAACTTAAATAATTAGATTATCTATTCACCTCATAGGGCATTTCCATTGTAAGAGAATCATAATCATCCAAGTTCTGTAGATTTTCACTGTGTGCTGTAGACGGCTTTACTATCGCTGGTGTGAGGTTGTCATAACGTGTGTTTTCAGGACCAGGTTCCTCAAGGATCTGAATAATGGTTTTTTCCACGTTATAATTTTATGACGTACGTATGAAAACGACGGAAAGAAGTCCACCTAAATCTAAGAATGTTGAGAAAAAACATACCTATCACATTTTTTTTACTATTATGAAGTAATATGTAATATCAAGAATTATAATGTAAAGCAGTATTCATATTGTGTTGTCTCAAATTGAAATACTGTACAATATTACAATGACAAATTAGTTAATTGTATACATGATTTCTTTCTTATATCAGTACAACAAGCAAGCATACAGTGCACCTGATCGTAAGTGGAAAATGTGACCCACAGACACATTCATCTATCCTTGATTAAGATTCAAAATGTAGATGCGTTAGAACTCCTGTGGACTTAGGATTTGAGTAAAAAGAATGTCCGTTTCCCTACACTGAGTATACGATACACAGCAGCAATAAGCTGTTATTCCGTGATGGCATGGTTCTTACTCAGGTCGAGCCGACTCATTCGTACTGCTATCATAATGTAGCAGCAGCATCGCTCTACTATGTTTTAAATACTTAATATCACTTGTATGCAATATGTTATTGCAAACATTTTGGTTAAATACTTAACTAAAATAAGAGAATATATTAACTATGATATGAAAAGTGTATTTGCCAAGGCAAAGTCAGAGCACATCGGCAAAATTGGCCAAAAACTAGTTCGAATTTCGTCCGGAACTCGTGCATTTTGGTCTCTCGCCAAGGCTGTTCAAGTGAACTTCTGTCAGACATCTCTCCCATCTCTGCACAAGGAGGACGACTCACTGGCCCATGCCGCAAAGGAGAAAGCCGATCTGTACTCTCTTTGCATCCAACTCTACTCTTGATGACGGGGGGAACACACCACCGACAATCCCGCGGTGTAAGTGCTCCATGCAGGATGTGCTGTTTACTCAGCGCTCGGTGCGCAAAGCACTCTCCCTTGACGTCAACAAGTCGAGTGGGCTTCATGGCGTCCCTCTTATTGTAGTGAAGACGTGTGCTTCAGAGTTGACACGGGTTTTAACGTGTCTTTTCCGGTACTCTTACTCCCTAGGCGTAGTCCCGAACTCATGGAAGACAGCTTTGGTGCACCCAATATCTAAAAAACGCGACCGCTCAGATCCGTCCAAGTACAGGCTATCGCCATCACTTCCTTGTTCTCAAAAATAATGGAAACCGTCATAAACTCTCAGCTCATGAGGTACCTTGAGAATCACCAGGTGATTAGTGACCGCCAGTACGCTTTCCGTCGCGGTCGGTCAGCTGGTGATCTTGCCTTAGATCGGGTTTGGCACAAAATGCTTCTTTCGAAGATCCCTTCCTATGGGCTTCCCGAGAAATTGTGCAAGTTAATCACCAGTTTTCTTGCAGATCGGAGCTTCAAGGTAGACGTAGTAGACGTCGTAGAAAACGGTGCATGCTCCGATTACAAGCCTACTAATGGTGGTGTTCCACAAGGCTGCATGCTATCACCAACACTGTTCTTTTGCATATCAATGATATTCAAACGATAGCAAATCCAAAAACATTCATTGCGTGCCAATATTTCTCGGGAAAACTTGTGTCTGAAGTCGACTCTTTGGGGGCGACTAAATCTAGTCCAGTTCAATCCCCAGAAGACACAAGTTTACGCGTTTACCGCTAAAAAGAACCCCTATGTCGTATCTCCTCAGTTTCAAGGAACTCCCTTGTTGCCTCAGCCAGTATCGGAATCATCGGCGTCGATATAACGAATGATGTGCAGTATCGTGGTTACTTGGAAGAGATGGCCAAATTGGCCTCTAAAAAGCTTGGCGTGCTCAGCAGAGCGGGACAGTATTTTATGCCGGTATACCGCTTGCAACTTTACAAGACGCAGGTTCGGCCCCACATGGAATACTGTTCCCATATCTGGGCAGGGGCTCTCCTGTGCCAGCTCCTTCCACTTGACCGCATCCAGTGGATGCGCTGGATGGACGACAGAGTTCTTTTCGATCGGCTTGACTCATTGGCGCTGCGAAGAGATGTTGCATCTCTGCGTACTTTATCACATCTACCACGGGGAATGCTCTGAGGAATTGTTCGGACTAATTCCAGCCGCTCAATTTCGCCATCGTACATCGCAACAAAACTCGCAATACTATTCATACCATCTGGATGATTGGCGATCCATGTGATATCGACTACCACTAGCAATTTTCCCGGACCGATACGACTTAGGGACCCCTTAAAGAAGAGCCTACTCTTTTTTGAAAGTTCGCCAACGCAACTGTAATTCCCCTGGTGTTGCAGTTGTTTAAGGGCGGCGGTAGCCACTTGCCATCAGATGAGACGCATGCTCGTTTGCCTCCTGTTATAAAAAAAAAACTGAATGAAAGTACAAAGTATTTATTCTATTAAAAACAATTAACTGTAAATATCACTATGGACCTGTTCTACATTGTTACTAGCCTAATAACTCCTAATTTTGATAATTATTTGGAACTTACCCATTGAGTAAATTCAAACATTTTCAAGTCCAACGGATCGCCTTTCAACTGTCCTTGTATGCTCGTAAGCGAGTGGCAAGAAGCGAGCGCTTGCACTAGTGGACTCGATACTGATAGCGCCGCTATTTCTACTACACATCGACCGAACTTTTCGCCGATATATGAAGGTATCACGGCATAGAGGTCCAAGCCATCTTCTGTAAGAGTACCCGTCTGCAAATAATGGATCATCAAGTATGAAACACTTAAAGATTTGCCTGCCTTACTTTAGTTTATAATGCATTTTGGAAAAGAATTTATTTAACTAGTAAAGTTCATTACACGGCACAAGCATCTTAATTGTGAAAGGTGATATAGCACTTTTATTTGAATAATTGTGAATAAAGTCAAAGCTAGTTGTATTATCTATCAATAAAAAGGGTAAAAATCGATTCTTTTAACAACAAACATTTCTGTAAGTATATCATACACTTAGTTATTTCATTGAAGTGAAATTAAATACCCGATATTTCTTTATTTTATGGTAAATGAGACAAATAAAATAAATAATAATAGTCGTAAATGTAACATAAGAAATAAGAATGTAAGAAAACATAATCAGTTTACCTTATCGAAGCACATAACCTGCAGCTTGCCGCAGATGATGATGCGCGGCGGCGAGACGCAGAATATCTTGTTCCTGCGCAGGCGCTGCTGGCTGTACACGATGCCCGCCGTCATCGCGGCCGGCAGCGCGGGCGGCACCACGATCGTGATGATGTCCAGCGTACGCAGCACTATTGTACCAGATGAGCTCTGGACACCACAACAACACGCCATTCTTTTACTATATGCGTAAAATTAAATTGTTGCACAAACATATAAATTGTATATATCTATTAGCAAAATGCATATTTATTTTTAAAAAAAATATATGAATCCAAAAATGTATGTCTTTTATTGAACTTAAAGAGTGCAAGAGTGTATTTAGTTCTATTGTTGTAGTATTTAAGTTAAATGACAACAAAGTTATAATAAATGTAATAAATATATATGTTCATAAAAATGGTAAATTTTAAATTGCACTGTCATAATTAGTTAAATAGATACATTACAATTTTTAGCCTTAGTCATCAACTTTTGCAATGAATACAATTAATTATAGCAAATGAATCATGATATTTATATTGCTTACAAACAAATTAATTATCAAAATCTCTTACTCCTCGCAAAATGTACAGCCATACGGAGTATGCCATTCCGATAGCAGCAATGCAGAACATGAATATGACGAACTTGACCGCATCCTTGTAGAACTCAAACACAAATTGTTTTGGGAACAAAATGCTTTTGATAAGTTCTCCCTTTGCAGTGTAGAAACCTGTGCGCACAACCTTCGCAAGCACCTGTAACATACACTTAATTAAAAGAATGCTTATAAATAGACGAGAAGTCAACCCAGTCATGATTTCGGCAAGGTATTCACATATTATGTCTTCAACAGTTTACTTACCTGGTTATTGCCATAAAATCTTGTTTGTATGACATGTGTTCCTGCAAATAATGTATGCCTTTTGTGAGTTTCCGTCGAATATACTTCGGGAGAGACGCAAGGCGGTCCTTTCATCACTGGTACACTTTCACCTGAAATATAAATACTTATTTAATATATGGTAAAAAAATTAACGTGCAACACTAAAGCCATTGCTACTAGAAGAACTACTTCAAAATTACTTAAAGATAAATGAAGTAGCTAATAATTTATTGTTATTGTCATGATATTGTTGCGCGCCACTATTAATGTCTTGTACATGGCAACACTAGTTACACTAGTGCCCTCTAGTGTCGAGTAAATGAAAGTATTGAGCGCCACTATTAATGTCTTGTACATGGCAACACTAGTTACACTAGCGCCCTCTAGTGTCGAGTAGCAGAACTAGGAGAGTCGAGATCCTTCCAGAAATTTCGGGACCGATATGTACTCGAACATTCTAGATGTCGCTACAGTAGAAGGTTCTGGAAACTATCTGAGGCCCTATATAAGGCCGGTATAGACCACGACCGGAGAGTATAGAATTGGCGATACAAGAGAATACTTCGAAGCGAAATAACGGCGAACTGTGTTTTATTATTAGTGTGATTTTAGATTATAATTAGTGTTGTGTAATTAAAGTGTCAATTTTGGTAATTCAATCGGCAGTTTTTAATTGTCTCGAACCCCAAGCTCGTAACAATTGGTGTCAGAAGTGGGATCAAATATGCCGATTTTACCTAAAGACGACACCGAGGGTATCTGTACCCGAAGTCAACGCCAACAGGAGACGGACCAGAAACGATTTGGTGGTGCAACGTCACAGACGTCGGCAGGCCAGTTGCCGACCACGGAGGCCGGCCCGTCAGCAGCTCCTGCATCGGCAGCACCTGACTTAGGTACTCTGATGATGATGCTGCACGAACAAGCTAGCCGACAGGAGGAACAGGCCCGCTGACAGGAGGAACAGGCTTGTCGGTTGGAAGAGCAGCTGCAGCGCGGACAGGAGGAACAAGCCCGCCAACAGGAGGAACAGGGCCGTCGGTTGGAAGAGCAGCTCAAACGCGATAAGGAAGAGCAGATACTTCTCATGAAGGACCTTCACGCTACCTTCGGGAAAGAAATAAGTGAGGTGAAGGATAAGGTTGCTCAATATGACAACCGCCTGTCGGAAGCTGAAACCCGAATCGACCAAGTGTACAATCGGGTTGACAATGTGATGGCTGACGTGAAGAAAACGCTGAACGACCTCAAAATTGGGGATGGAGTTACAGCTCCCGTGGTAGCTACAACACCTTCGCTACGTGGATTCAAAGTGCCACCGTTCGACGGGACTTCTTCCTGGTCGGCCTATAAAATCCAGTTCGAGGCTGTCATGAAAGCGAACGGCTGGAATAAAAGTCGGGCCACGACTGCTCTCACCCTAGGCCTGCGCGAACAGGCATTAACTGTTCTGGAAGCTCTCGGTAAGGAAGTGACTTACGAGCAGCTCCTTGAGGCATTGGAGGCGAGATATGACGACGCTCACCTGGAACACGTCTTTCGTGCGCAGCTCAAAGATCGCGTGCAACGCAGTAACGAAAACCTGCAGCAGTGGGCCCTTGAGGTGGAGAAGCTGGTTCGAAAAGCGTACCAGTCTGTACCTGCGCTTATTGTAGGGAACCTGGTGCTGACATTCATCGACGGCATCCGCGACCTTGAAGTCAGAGCTGCTGTGAGGCTCGGGCACCACGAGACGCTTAAGGACGCCTTGACCCATGCACTGGAGGTGGAAGCCGTGCGGCAGGATCATCGTTCCCACCGCGTCAGGGAGGTTGCAGCAGCTACAGTTCAGGACCGCAATAAAAGCTACAGCCCTAGGTGCTACGGCTGTGGAGAAAGGGGCCATCTTCGATCCAGCTGCCCTAAGCGAACTGTAGAAAGGGAAGGTGATCGATCTCGAGAGGGTAGTGCGGATAATAGCACCGCCTAGCAGCAGCAGGGAAACTGGCGGGTGCTGGCTGATGTTAAAAGAGCCCCAAGGATTTCGATCTCACAAACTCATGATGGGAACAGCCTAATCATCAAGGGCGAAGTCAACGGAACGCCATGTAAACTGACCATAGACACTGGAGCCTCTCGCACGGTTGTCAGTTCCCAACTTATAAGTCGGTTCCTTGGGGACTCCGCATACAACCGAGAACGCATTAATTTGGTGACAGCCACTGGTCAGCGCATACCCGTCCGTGGAGAGAAGGAGATGGAGTTGAAGCTAGGCAACATGATCTACCTGCATAATGTCATCGTGGCTGATATAATGGACGACTGCATCCTGGGCCTAGACTTTATGAGGAAGAATTGTTGTGAGATCGACGTTAAGCAAGGTGTTTTGAAATGTGGACAAGAGGAACTTTTCATGGAAGGGGCGTTACCAGGGAATGTGTACAGCCTTAAGAAGATTGTTCTTCCGCCGAGATCGGAAACGATTGTGCCGGTTAGACTTCCTCGGAATCCTGGGCAAACTCTTCGTTGTGTACTCGTGGAAAGGGTAGACAACGACCTTCCATGGATAGTGGCTCGAACCTTGGTCAGAACCGCCGACATCTCAGGAGTACGTGTGCTGAACCTTTGTGATCAGGAACAGATTATAGAAAAAGGCACATTGGTTGGTACTAGTGAGGAAGTGGATTGGTTGCGTCGGTGCCAATATCTACCGACTGAGACCCTCAGCAAGGATGGACAAACGAGAGTGACCACACTTTTAGAAGACTGTCGCAGCGTTCTCTCCCCGAATGAAATGATCAAGGCGAAGAAGTTGTTACTCAAGTACGCCAATGTTTTCTCGTCAAACGAAGCTGACATAGGAAAGACTGGCTTAGTTCAACACAAAATAAACACAGGACAAGAATTGCCTATTCGTCAACGGCCAAGAAGATTGCCTGTAGCACGTGAAAAGGAAGTGGAAACCATGATTGAGGGAATGGTGAAGAATGGTGTTATTGAACCTTCATCTAGTCCATGGTGTTCACCTGTGGTGCTGGTAAAGAAGAAGGACGGCAGCATGCGGTTTTGTGTTGACTACCGCCGCCTGAACGACGTTACGAAGAAGGACAGGTTGAAATTGACCCTAAGGACAAGGAGAAAACTGCATTCTCCACAGGAAAGGGTCTGTGGCAATTTAAAGTCATGCCGTTTGGATTGTGCAATGCTCCAGCAACGTTTGAAAGATTGATGGAGCTTGTACTTACCGGGCCAATTGGAGACGCCTGTCTGGTCTACTTGGATGACATCATCATCGTAGGCCGTACGTTTGAGGAACACCTTCAAAACCTGGAACGCGTGCTCATGAAGATCCAGAGTGCCAACCTCAAGTTGAGTCCGAAGAAGTGCTCACTATTCAAACGGCAAGTTAGTTTTTTGGGGTATGTAGTGTCGGAAGACGGTATCCGCACGGATCCAGAGAAAGTTTCCGCTGTCAAGGAGTGGCCGATTCCAAAAGACAAGACGGTTAGAGCATTTTTGGGTTTGTGCTCTTATTATCGGCGATTTGTGAAGAACTTTGCAGATATAGCCAAACCTCTGCACAAGCTAACCGAGGAGAAGCGACAATTCTGCTGGGATGAAAGTTGCGATATTGCATTCCAGGAGCTCAAGAACCGTCTGTGCAAAATACCTATTTTGGGGTACCCTGATGCGGGCAAGGAATTTATAGTTGACACAGACGCAAGTGATATAGGACTTGGCGGTGTGTTGTCTCAACGGAATGGTGATCAAGAGATTGTGATAGCGTACTTCAGCAAGTCGTTGTCAAAGCCGGAAAGGAACTATTGTGTCACAAGACGGGAATTGCTTGCTGTGGTAAAGTCCTTGCAGCATTTTAGCAAATATCTTCTAGGGCGGAAATTCCACTTACGAACTGACCATGCTGCACTCAAATGGCTATTGCAGTTCAAAAATCCGGAAGGACAAGTTGCGAGATGGATTGAACTACTGCAGGAATACGACTTTGTGATCGAACATCGCAGCGGGAAATCTCATGGCAATGCAGATGCATTGTCAAGAAGACCTTGCCCTGAAGATTGCAAGAATTGTACTAGGCAAGAGGGTAAGGAAGTGGTATCTGTGAGAATGCTCAGGACAGACCAGCTCAGCAATGAGTGGAAGGACAGCCTACAACATGCACAGCAGGAAGATTCGGACATTAAGCCGATTCTGGAATGGATGAAGGCCAGTGCTCCTAAGCCCAAGTGGAGCGACGTCTCAGCAATGAGTTCGACCACGAAAAGCTATTGGGCCCAATGGGACAGCTTGCTGATTCAGGATGGAGTCCTGTGCCGTAAATGGGAAAATGGTCGGGGAGACAGTTGTCATTTGCAAATGGTTGTCCCTAAGGCTAAAGTACCGGATGTTCTACAGCTGTACCATAGTGGTTGTTCAGGAGGCCACCTGGGAGTTAAACGAACTCTACTGAAAATCCGAGAACGGTTTTACTGGGTCCACTGTCGTGACGATGTCGAGGACTGGTGCCGCAAATGTACAAGTTGTGCGGCTGTAAAGGGACCTCAAATTCGTAGTAGAGGCGCATTGAAATTGTACAATGTTGGTGCACCATGGGAGAGGATAGCCATTGACGTTGCGGGGCCGTTACCGGAAAGTGAAAGTGGTAACAAGTATTTCATGGTTGTGATGGATTACTTCACTAAGTGGCCAGAAGTCTTCGCCATTCCAAATCAAGAAGCTTCAACAATTGCAGATAAACTAGTTCATGAAGTCTTCTGTCGTTTTGGAGTACCTTTAGAGATTTACAGCGATCAAGGAAGGAATTTCGAGTCTCAAATATTCCAGGAAACTTGCAGAGTTGTGGGTACTCATAAAACACGAACAACTTCTTACCACCCACAATCTGATGGAATGGTAGAACGATTTAATCAGACATTGGAAAGGTACCTGGCAAAAGTTGTGGAAAAACGGCAACGAGACTGGGACAGGCACATACAACCGTTTTTGTTGTCATATCGAAGCGCTGTTCACGAAAGTACGTCAGTGACGCCAGCTTTCGCAACCTTTGGGAGAGAATTACGGCTGCCTGCAGACCTGATCACCGGAATACCACCTGATGCCCCACGCAGTATAACCGATTATGCAAATGACTTGCGGAACAAAATGAATGACATTTATGAGCACGTCAGACAGACGGGCCAGCAAACGTCTGAGAAGATGAAAACACGGTATGACCGCAAAATGAACAACAAGGGGTTTGATGAAGGTTCACTAGTGTGGTTACACAATCCAGTTCGCAGCAAAGGGAAATCTCCTAAGCTTCAAGCTAAATGGGACGAACCGTACCGGATTGTGACAAGGATCAATGATGTAACCTACCGGATACAGAAAGGTGCCAGAGGTACTCCTAAGATTGTCCATGTGGATCGACTGGCGCGTTATTATGGGGCCAATAATGCTCGGGACGAGCATGTCTTAGGAGGGGGCAGTGTAGCGCGCCTCTATTAATGTCTTGTACATGGCAACATTAGTTACACTAGTGCCCTCTAGTGTCGAGTAAAGGAAAGTGTAGCGCGCCACTATTAATGTCTTGTACATGGCAACACTAGTTACACTAGCGCCCTCTAGTGTCGAGTAGCAGAACTAGGAGAGTCGAGATCCTTCCAGAAATTTCGGGACCGATATGTACTCGAACATTCTAGATGTCGCTACAGTAGAAGGTTCTGGAAACTATCTGAGGCCCTATATAAGGCCGGTATAGACCACGACCGGAGAGTATAGAATTGGCGATACAATAGAATACTTCGAAGCGAAATAACGGCGAACTGTGTTTTATTATTAGTGTGATTTTAGATTATAATTAGTGTTGTGTAATTAAAGTGTCAATTTTGGTAATTCAATCGGCAGTTTTTAATTGTCTCGAACCCCAAGCTCGTAACAATATTATATTTAGAATATCATATTTATAATGAGTTATTTTTCAGATTATTTTACATTTCCGAAAACTAGGATCATCATTTTAAGTGGTTTATTCTCATAACTAGCTGTTCCTCGCGACTTTGCCCGCGTGTAGTTTAGGGTTTTAGTTATGTTGCGCGCAACCCTAACTCTTTTTCTAAAATATAAGTAGCCTAAGTTACTCCTTATAATATCAGCTAAGTATCTGCCAGTGAAAGTCCCGTCAAAATCGGTCTGGCCGTTTCTGAGATTAGCCGGAACAATCAGACAGACAGACAGACAGACAAAAACTTTAAAATTTGTGTTTTTGTCATAAGTACCGTATATACTTTCATATGCATTTAGTAAAAAAAATGTTATTTTGACATTACAAACAGACACTTCAATTTTATTTATTTGTATAGAAAAGTTCGATAGTTGTGAATGTACTATAAACACTTGATATTCTGGAAAGTTAAAAAAAGTTGCCTTGTTTACTGTTTACATATTCTGATATGGAGTGACGACCTGGTAAGATATGCAAGAAGTCTATCGATGCAAGTTTATCAGGAACATACTTTGAGGCATTCTCCTCTTGACTTGTAAAGGGCTGTAATAATAATGATGGTGGTGATGACGAGTTCGTCTTATTACATGTTTTTCTTTTTCGAGTAAGAAGAAAATTTTTAAGTCTTCTTGTTATAGTGAAATAATTATGCAAATGTTAATAGCGTAATTTTAATTTTTGTAATTTTATTTGTTGGCAAATAAAAATATCTATTTGGTCCATCGGGTCCTATCGATTGAAATTTCGTAACATAATTGCGCGTTAAAAGCAATTGTATATTTTTCTCTTTAAATGTAATATCATTGGTTTTTTTAAAGATTATTTGTCAATGCGTACAATTTAGCGGCTTTAAATGGTCACGATGAATCTTTCCTGGATTAGAAACCAACTTACAGATGGGTTGTCAACCCTGAGGACTAAGGTTCTTATTACCAGTAAAAAGGGTCGCCAGAGAGGAGATGGTGAGAGGAGAGTGCACCTGTACGCAGATGGCTAGCTGCCGCAAGTGGAAGCCTATGGTATACCTGTGAGCATGCTCTCGTTGACGATGCAGGTGCCGGTGAGTAGCATGGCGTCGCAGGGCATGACGCAGCCGTCGGGCGGCAGCACCAGCACGTCGCCGGGCACGAGGCGCGCCGCCGCCGCCACGCACTCCTCGCGCCCCGCGCGCGTCGGCCGCACCACCGTCACCATGAACGAGCACGTCGACCCCGCCATCTTGTGCAGGTTTATGCTCATCTGGAAATCGTACAGCGTCTTACAAACTATACTCGGTACATTTTAACATAGAATTTTATGAAAATAAACAATAAAATGGGTTCTTAAAAGCAAACAAGCAAACCTTTTATATAATAAACTAACTGGTACTTGGCGCTTTGCTGTCACAGAAGAAATAATTGTGGAAATATTGTTTCGTTTGTTTGTATCGTTTTAAATTTGGAAGACTTATATCGTTTAATTAAAAATGATACTACATTCATTGAAGTTAAATTATATATCTTTCAAATAAAATTGTCAGTACGATACGCGCGATACCTATCTACTTCGCGCAAGTTCAAGCAAGTTGACAAAGTTTTACCACAATCTGATGAATAGTATGACAGCAAATATGAACAAATATTAATTTTTATATATTAGATGTAGAGGGTAATGTCAGTGCAATTATATTATGAGTACAGCATGAGCAGGTCGGCTCAACTGGAGAAGTAGAGAACCGGAAACCATTTTTACTGGAAACAAGGGATTCCATCTTAGTCCTCAGACTCAAAGTGACAACGCTTCTGCACTTTGATTCTTAATCAAGGATAAATGTAGATGCCTATGGGTCACAACATCTACTTACCATCAGGTGGTCTGAGTGCTTGAATGTCACTTGTCAAAAAAGCAGCACATGGCTTGCGTGAGCAGCGGCTCTATTACGTCATTCAATTTGTTTTCTTTTTTTTGTTTTTTTTTTTTTAAAAACGTTACCCACACACTAGGATTTTCTCCTGTATCGTGGAGGCAGTTTACAAACACAAATTGCACAAGGACAAACATCCAGACCCGAAACAATTATTTGTAGGCCATACAAATACTTGTTCCGTGCGGGATTCGAACCCGCGCCCCCCAGCGCAGCAACTCATAAACCAATGTGGTATGACCGCCGTCCTATTACGATGGCAATAGGATGGCGCCTTAAATTGTTTCTTTCATTGAATTTTCATGTACTAAAATTTGTGTTTTATATGGCTCATACATTAATCTGGCTGACGGTTGACTTAGTTTCCGAAAGCAATCGTAAGCTGTCACCGAGATCAAAATCGGCTAGGGGCCATTCCTCAGATCATAGAAACAACAGGAGATATGGCAAGGAGGCGTGGCACTTGCGAACGCATCTGGCCGCAAAGCGGCCTGATGCCAGTTTCAGTAATTAGTCGAATATCAACTTGCGATGTGTTTACTGCTCGTGATTTTTGACAAAATGCAGCGTTGTTCAGTGATCGTTTGCAAAACTAACAGCTATATTGTGAATTACATGAAAGATGGCATCTCATTTCACACGTAAATACTAAAATATTAATGTTTTTCTTATTAAATTCATTAAAACATAACTTCGTGGTACTAGAAACACGATGAAAAACCAAATCAAATGTTTTCATTAGGAACAAAAACCATTGCTTGCTTAGTACACATCGACTAGTGAATCGGCTGGTCTAATAGCGCAATGGATAAGTGTTTTACTGATACTTTCACTCAAACGAAAGTTTTGTGAAGCGGCCGCTGTCGGCTTTTGTGAGTTAGAGATGGAATGTGATGTTTGTGGTTGTCGATATTTTATACGATTCTGCTAAGTACGAATGATTATGCATGATACTATTAATTATTGTAAAACATAATTTGTTACTACAGTGTAAGTAACTGCGCATTTTATGGCGTTAATGAGAGTTGTCGTTTAATGGAGATAAGAAAAATCAATATTCTTTACTATTATAATATGTAATTACTAAGAAACTTTAGAAAAAGCGAAACGGTATTTAACATCTATAAAGCTTCCAAACGGTAAAAAGGCTATCAGTACACCAAGAAAAACCGGTTTTATTAGCTTTTTAGTGTACACAGAAAGCCTCAAGGCATTGTATATACAACTAGTTAAAAAGGCCATTGTATTGATTAATATAGTTGAACCACAATATTAATTATAATTTATTTATTAATATTTTGTTTTAACTACATATTGTACATTTTTATTATAATATTTTCTGGACATATCGTTCTTTATTTATTTTACTATCATGACTCCAAAAAATCTTTAGTACAATTATAAATAGAAGAATCGATAACTTTCCGATTTAGTCTATCACTAGCGTCTGCGTAAAATCCATGCCTTTTTCACAGCACAACGATAGCGACAGATGTTTTTGGATGAGTAAGTTGTACGGTTCATGGTAAATGCACGCTGTGTTTGATAGGATAAGGTTTATAATTGGTTGTGTTGTACGTTCCGATTTATTAAATGCGGATGTGTGCGCGACTGTGTATCTATTGATTTTACTGAACTGCATGTGTAGTAGTTGGCGAGTGACGGGGACAAACTGGCGACAACAGGTGCCGATACATTTTAATGTACCGGGCATATCTCCTGTTGTTCCTATGATCTGAGGGTCATTCATTATCATTAGACAAACATCACGTCTTAAAGAAGCTTATATCAATCATCATGATGTATATATTAAGCTTCTTAAAGAATATTCTAGCTAGCTTGCATTTTTTTGGCTGTTCTGCTCATATTTTCCACCGGCCATATTTTCCATTTAGGCTGGTTTGGTAGCGTCGTATTCATTATGCTGCTTTACGTTACTAGTATGTGGAGTGTGAGTTCGGCATTTTTGCATCAACAAAACAAGATCTTTTAAAGATCGTTCATCTACATACAGAGGAATGATGGATCCCTCGTTTATTTGAAACTTAAATAATAAGCCAAGTCAATTTCCAGGGCGCAGAAACTGTCAGTCTAAGGAGGAAAACATCATTTGATCACAATGAACATTTATTTTTTAAATTTTTACCTTATTTAAAATTAACTTAATATAAAATTAATATAATTCCAAACACGCACGGATTAGTCATAACACAGTCGGTGACAGAGAGACATTTCATATAGATTGATTCGCCCGACGACGAAGTTTTTTTCAATCATAATTATAATTAGTTATGTCGAAACAAGAAAATTATAAATATTTAATCCTTTCTTTCTTTTCACAAATGCCTTCGAAATTAATTTAGACTAAAGTTTCATTGCATTAGTAAATAAATGGTCCAGTTATTATTTGCCCATATGTTGAATTTTTAAACATCAGAGTTTATCATTAAGGCCAGTATACAACATGTAAATATTTAAAGAAAATATTCTGTATCATGAACATACAATTTACTTTTATAAAAATATAAATCTTTACATCAGAATGTTCTTAAACTATGTACCTAAAACATTAAAAGTTATGTTTTACCTGTTTCGTTTGGTAAAGTGCCAGCATGCAGGAACCCACAGATAAAAAGAAGACGCAAGTTGCATATTGATAGTATTCATCCAACGACCACAGTATAATCGAAAAGACTTGGAATAAATAAAATGGGTTGAAAACTTCGTTGACAAACAGTGTCCAATAGGTCTTAACTTCGACTTCTACAGAATTGTAGCCGTATAGCTTTATCCTTTAATAAAAATAAATAAATTTTAAAATAACACTCTACAAACATTTTTGATAAACAAAGATAGATAGACGAAGCGCTACGTACATTTTAAGTGACGTTAAAACCAAGTTAATATTACGTTTAACTTATTATAATAACACGCAACCCACTCATGTATGCACATTCATTTTACACCATTTGCAACTAACAACAATGGTTTAGATGTATATGTATGCGTCCTGCAGTGGACTTTTACAGGATGTTAAAGAAAGAAGATAGATGCGTGCATGAAGGCTTGTCAAACGTTGAGAATGGTTTCGGTGTCACTTGTACTCAGCGCTCCATCTGTCTCTCTTTGTTGAGTCGGAGATACAGATAAAAAAAATTTGTAGTGCTCACAGTCATAGTTCTAAATAAATTCATTTTACACCATTTGCAACTAACAACAATGGTTTAGATGTATATGTATGCGTCCTGTCCTGCAGTGGACTTTTACAGGATGTTAAAGAAAGAAGATAGATGTGTGCGTGAAGGCTTGTCAAACATTGAGAATGGTTTCGGTGTCACTTGTACCCAGCGCTCCATCTATCTCTGTTGAGTTGGAGATACATATAAATAAATTTGTAGTGCTCACAGACATAGTTCTAAATAAATAACATAAGTTGCATTTTGATACTTCTTTGCATGCACAGTATAAGTTAAAAACAAAGGCTGCTGCTAAGCACACACCACGCGCGACCATTATCACAGTTACACCTCAGTTGAAAATGTCAGCACACAATTACCAACCAGCAAACTGTTTACTGTAAACTGCAAAATCGCTACAGCAGGGAGTAGCTGAGTAAACGTTTCTATCCATCGTTAAGTCATTTTGTAATCTAAATATGCATAGTGAACATGCGAGAATAGTATGATTCGTAATACATTGCTACTTTTACACTTGGCGCGGTAATGTAAAATAAAAGTACAAAACTTCATCTGCTTACTTATATTTTTATTTAATATATTAAAGTATTATATAGCTTTGATTGTACATCGAACAAACAAACGTCAAACTATACTAAAATAATCAAAGATTGTGCGACCATAGCTTCAACCGTAATTTTGCAAACAAAACATTTTATTAATATATAATAATTTATATTTGAAAACTATGGGTCGATGTGGGCTAGAATACGATAAAACAAAAAAATACCACATTGCAGGATTCGAACTCGCGACCTAGGCTCTAGCCATTGGTTTTTACTGCGGCTAAGTATTTTTTTAATACCAGGTAGGGCCATTTTCGAGAACGCGATTACAAACAAATATATAAATATAATTTAAAATTAAAAATTTTGCACAACCGACTTCAATATAAATTATCAAGAACACAAAAACTATTGGTGACACGTTGATCAAATTTATATGGAACCACACGTGAAGCACCAGCTTTCAATTAAAAAAAGAATCATCAAAATCGATCATCCAGTAAAAAGTTATGAGATAACATACATAAAAAAAACATACAGTCAAATTGAGTACCGTCTCCTTTTTGAAGTCGGTAGATTATATTGCTCATATAATAGTATAGGATGAATACCAAACAAGCGTCAATTTCCCATATCGCTTAAAGTTCTTGGTATTGTCGCCTTTATTATTTTTCTGACAAATAGTCACTAAACCAATGATGGTTATCTCTATACATTATATTTATTCTCGATTGTAAACAATTTTGAATCAGAGGAAATATACGTTATGAACCAAGTGATTAATTAGGCACTATTTATAATGCCCTGCCCGGGCATTATATGAATAATGACATGTCAAATTGGGTTATATAATTAATACTGATACTTCATTATTTATCACATTGTCTGGTCATTATGAATATTGCTACATAACTGTTGGGCAATTTGATATACCCTAACCTAACCGACAATTTCAATATTATATTTTAATTTATTTATGGTTAATGGACTAGACGGACAAATAGTCCGACTAGGTAAGTCCAACTTCGATCGAGAGGTTAATTAACAGATTCAACTTGGCTGGGCAGCATTTGGGAGACTACGACACATCTTCTCGTCAGTCAAAACTAGATTGTACAACCAGTGTGTATTGCCAGTGATTACCTATGGATCTGAGACGTGGTCCTTCCCTGCTGGCTGTATGAGGAAGCTCAAAGCCGTTCAGCGAGCTATGGATAGGGCTATTGCTGGGGGTTTATCTGCGTAATAGACTTAAAAAGGAGGATATCCGCAGTGGAACCAGAGTGACCGACACAGCCCAATGGATGAGTAAGCTGAAGTGGCAATGGGCCGTCCATATAGCTCGAAGAATCGACAACCGTAAGACATGCTGGAAGTCAATGGATGCAGGTGGCTCGGGACCGTGCTTTGTGGCGTTCTTTGGGGGAAGCCTATTGTTCAGCAGTGGACTTGTGAAGAGCTGTAATGAATGAATGGTTAATGGTTATATCATTGTAATGTATGCAGCTTTAAGGTGGCCCAAGGACCACCCCCGGCACCTTAACCTACTGTCACTGATTTTACAAGATTAGTCTAAGACGCAAATAGCCTAATCATGCGAGTAAGTGTCATAAATACTTTATTTTTATATTATATAATATTTTTATTATATTAATATTTTAAATTAAAAATATATCGGAAAAATGGAAATCGTATGATAACAATGTAAATAAAAAAAATTAACTGTTCAATTATTGTATGAATTTATTTCAATATTTTTTATCACATCGTCTACTCATAATGGCATTATGTATGGTATGTGTATGGTTTTGTGTGTGTGTTTGTTACCTAACACACACATACACACACACACACACAAACAGGTTTTATTTTGAATAAATTTGGCGTTATAATTAAATGCAATTTGTTATGCCTGGTTTTCTTACTTGCATTTACACATTTACAGTTTTCATACTTGCATTAACTATTTAGATCTATGTTTGTGGTAGTGTATGTAATTTTAGAATGTTTAGATGTTTAGTCATTGAAATAATTATTATAGGACAAAAAAAATCACAAAGAAGTGCAAGATTTGCTCACTACTTAGGGACTACTAATCAGACAATTTTTATCAACATTTAGTATTTCCTCTTTTAGGAAGAATGTTTTATTAAGAAATAGTTACTCTTCTGAATACAGAGATAAATGTTTGATAAGAATAGATTATATATTTTAGGTCATCACAAAATGTGAATGTGAAAATAAAATAGATGTCAATCACTTCAACGACCTAATCTATTATTTAACTTAGACACATCATTTAACTGACAAAAAAATACAAAATCTATATTACATTAAAATAATTTCTACTTACAATTCATTCTGCTGCCGTTTATTGATGCCAGACATATTTTCCATTAACAAGCTGATAGTCATTTTTTCATTGAGAGTTTGAACATTTATAAAATTGTCATGGTCGCTGAGCCAAATGAAGCGACTGTGTTGATAAATAAAGTAACGTAATTTATTGTCCCGATGATTGGAGAGATTAAGATCGACTTCATAAACAGGTTGCATTACAAATGTGCCCTCTGCATCCGTTACTGAAATAACGAATATTTATTTTCATCTTTTTAGTACTTTTACTATAACAAAACTTTAGCATATTTATTAATATTGTTCATCTTGTTTAAAATTTGATAAGTAGTCTACTACAGGACATGAGCCTATCTGATAGGTTTTAGGATTGCGACGCCACACTTGGCATACGGATTGGCGTACGCAATAACAATGCCTTGCACTGTTGATGTAATTCTTATTTACTGGTAAAACTACCATCTTTTTTACTAGCTAAATGCAATGATATTTAAATACAGTGGCCCCCGGTAATCCGACAAACATTTTGCAGGGCAGTGTCGGACAATCCAATTTGTTGGATTATAGAGTACTTACTGCCTACGACCCTGCTACTACTTTCCCTATAGTCTGGAATTTTTTATAAAAGAGTACCTTGTAATCCGACAAATTCCAGATCCAATGATAAGATTCTATATATCATATATATGTACTCTGAAGTACAAATTATACTTAATTATGTATGTCAAATTTAGTAAATTAAAATTTAAAACAATACCCTACGCGGCGAGTACAATAGTGGTGGTGCACACAAGTTATAACTTGTTCAATCATGCATTTGCGAAGATTGTCAAAAAAATATTTAATAATAAATAATGGACCATGTCAGATTACAGGGGGTGCCGGATTAGACAGGGGCTGGATTACCGGGGTCTACTGTAGTACATTGGATGAGGGTTAGGCTACTGCCGTGACATTAATATTGAACTTACCACATATAACATCAGCCATTTTCAAACTGGATTTGATGTATTTCATTTTGTTGTATGAGGGATAATAAGCTAAAGCAAAATAAGGCAATCCACATAATGCCATACAAACTGAATGAAATAAAAGTGCCCGCCATTTTGAATATTGATATCCACGTATCTTGATGACTTGTTCATCAGTAGAATTTTCAAAGATCTGCCATTGGGTTTCTCCAATAACCTCATATTCATCTGAAAATTAAATAAATAATATCTTACTGATCCTTTACTGTCGAATTTCGAGATCTGAAAGTAATTAACAAAATCACTTAAGTTCAATCAAACACAAGTGATAGAATTAAAAAAATTGTACAACCAACCTCAGTATAAATTATTAAGGATAACTTAAAAACTACTGGACAGACATTGATCAAATTAATATGGGACCACATGAGAAGCACCAGCTTTCAAATAAAAAAAGAATCATCAAAATCGTTTCATGTAGAAAAAAGTTATAAGGTAACACACATAAAAATAGAAAAAAAATACAGTTGAATAGATTACTTCCTTTTTTTTGAAGTCAGTTAAAAACAATCAATAAAAAATAAATACTTAATACACTTAAAAGTAGTATTATACCTAATAATTAATTAAAAGCTTTTACCTTTAACTTTTAATTAATAAATAATTAAAAGTTAAGGGTAGCCTTCGTTAACTATGACATCGGGACGTCAAATACCTCAGTACCCCCTGTGCCCATGGGCGTTGGAAAGTGCCAGAAACGTCGGGAATTAAAAAAGTTAAAATTAAACGCGATAAAATCCATAAAATTTGTTTTATTCCATGTGTAGTATTCGCGTGAATATAAGAAATCATTATATGCCTAATATACTTTTTTTAATAGAAACAGGTTCATAAATGAGCACGCAGTCCACCTGATGGATGCTGGGGCCTATAGATATCAATATATATACTCAATTATGAATCAAATCTTTATATCTCATTTAAGGTGGAAGGTTTTTCAGTTTTCTACTTCCACCATAGGAAGCACAGCTGCACGGAGCTGGCATTTTAAGCTGGTATTTTGTGAGTGTGGTCCTTTCCCGGTTGAACCAACCCATTTGTGCTACAACAATAATATAGCTGCAGTATGGCTCTAAAAGTAGTTATGGCAATCATTAAATAGAAATAAAATTGAAGAGTAAATTGAAGAAGTCTGTAATATCGAAATAACTGCCATTTATTGAGCTGAGGGGGTTATTTGTACAACATTAAGACATTAATAGCCATTCTTAAAATTTTTGTCTGTACGAGCTCATCTTTGGATTTGGATTGCATATAAAATAAAGTGCATGTTAGGTAGAAGTATTGATGATTGCATTGATCTACTACTAAATGGATCTCAGGTCCGCTTACAAAAGTGTCTGAGCCAAACGAGTTTCAAAATGTAAAAAGAGTTCCAATCACGCGTCAGTCTTCTTTTTGTCAACCGACTTAATACACGTCAAAAATCCCGTAGTGTATTGTGAAAACATGTAAAAATACTTTAGTAAAGTCAGAAAAGACATTGGTGTATCATATTTTCGTTAAGCACTATTAATATTTCATCATTTAAAAGTTACATTTTGCTCAGATACATAATATTTAATTTAAATTCATATTATTAACTGTAAAAACAAATAACCATACTGATAATTTTTCCTAGAAGCTTCATAAGGTGAAAATAATGCAGCCTTTAGTAGAAGTAAAATAGGCTGCTAAATTGTCACAAGTAAAATTGAGCAGTTTTCAAATGACAATATGGTTTGAATAATAGGGTGTTATAGTTTTTTATATTTCTATATGTGTACCTATGCTTATATAGGTTGACTGAACATATTTTTCGTGAAATTTGTTCTAGAGCTGCCATCCATTTAGTAGTAGGTCAATGGATGATTGCAATACTATTTTTTTAATAATCAGTTTCAACAAACAGGCAGCACCTAGGTTAGGTACAATAATTAATCATGTAGGCCATCATTTACTTTCATTCAAAATAAACAGCTTTAGCAAGAAATAAATTATAAAAAATAAATTTATTAAATATTATGATTAAGCCACCACCAATTATTCAAAAAATTAAAATATTATTATTTTTTATTAATTATTATTACTGTATATATAATATATATGTACATAGTACCATGGATATGAGGTTCACTTATATGTTCTCTGCTCTTAGGTTGCTAAACCACTTACTAAAACTAACACTAGAAAGCTAGTAAGACATCTGCTAGTAATGATGGAGAAAATTAACCTAAAGAGTAAAAACCACAACAATAAACTATAGAGAAATATGCAGGAACAAATGATGTCACAGTTATATAGTAAGGTAGATTAAATAGACGAGAACATAATATAGAGTGAGGAAAAAACTTGTTAAAAAGAAAGGTACAAAATCTTTGAGAAAATAAAACCAGGTAGAGTATTCAGAAGATTGATGACATTTGAGCAGAGGAGGCTTTAGGCAATAAAAAGGCTGGCAGAGTTATGGATGCATTTTAAAATGTCAATATTTAAGTAAAAAAAGAGGTTAAATCATACTACTACATATTTGTTGTTAGTTTTGTCCAAATAAAGACCTTATATCTATACAAATAAATAAAATTGAAGTGTCTGTTTGTAATCTCAAAATAACAGTTTTCTAAATGCATATGAAAGTACAATTTTTGAAATTTTTGTCTGTCTGTTCCGAGATTAGAACTCGGTCGGGTCCTATGAGAACTCAGTATAAAAACTTATTACATACTGGTAATTACAAAACAGCACTAATTAGAAAAAATATTATGTCAATGGGGCCTATAATATACAATAAAATTCCGGAGACTTATAAAGAACATCCTATAAGAATATTTAAATTTAAGCTGACTGCATTATTATTAGAAAAATGTTACTATTGTTGAAAAGACTTTTTAAATGATAAATATGTATAAAAATACTTTAAAATACCATAAACGAGAATTTACATTATATATGAATGACATATTACTGGTTAATTTGCTATCAGAATTGAATCTTTTAGTTTTTATGACTTTACATGCCATAAGGTAGAATGTAGCGGAAACACTTAGTAATGTACCATCTTATACCTGTACACATTGTGGCAAATAAAGAATCTGAATCTGAATCTAATCTCCAAAATGGGTGGATCGATTTTGATGGGACTTTCACTGGCAGATTGCTGATGTTATAAGGGAGTAACTTAGGCTACTTTTATTTTAGAGAGAGAATTAGGGTTCTACATAAAAAAATTAAAACCCATGAAATACAATCATCACAAATTACACATAGACGAAATCGCAGGGAACAGCTAGTTTTAAATATATGGCAACATTAGAAAACATTTAGAAAATCAGTACAAAATGGCATAAAATATAAACCAGCACGGCTGGTAGAATCAAAATAGGGAAGGAAGTAAATTAATTGGTATGTTATTGTAATCAACTCGTAAATAAATATTATACTTGCTATTGTGATAAGTGCACATGGTCTCAGAGCGAACTAATGGAAATGACCTATACATAATTAATCAAAACATTATCAAGGCTAATATCAACCTTTCATTGACATCTCACACTAAAGTAGCTGTTAGAGTAGTAAAATAGATTTACTAGAAGTGAACAGAAATAGAAATTTAATTTAAGCAACTTATTACATATCACAGGAGTTAAATTATGTATCAGAAAACTAAGACTTAAAACTATTATAAAATTAAACCAACAGTTAAAAACTGCTGTTACTGAGAACAATGATACAAGTTTAATTGAAGTTAACTGTTCAATAATAAGTGTTCATTGAACCAATTAGAATTGGTTATATGTGTTAGTTGTTGAGTATATATGTATATATATATATATATTATATATATACTCAACAAATAACACATATATATATAACCAATTCTAATTGGTTCAATGAACACTTATTATATATATATATATATATATATACATACACAAAGTTTCAACATGAGGAAACGCATAATTTTTGAGAAAAGAATTATTGAAAATCAACTACTCTTGCAATGTTTATGTCTAATCCTACCATAAAACTGGCGCCATTTTATAATGTCATTGTCGACGTCAATAGGGATGTCGATTCTTTCCGAAAAACGTAGATTTTTAAATCGATTCAAATCGTAAGCTGATGTATCGGTTCACAAAAAATAGATTTCTAAAATATCTATATTTTTTTTAATGTTTCTATTTATAATGTAAATATAAACACATTTTATGAAAAACAAGAAAGATACCATGATAAATGATCTCTTATTGAAATTTGTTTTATTTAACATTACCTATTAGGGCAGATAACAAATAAAATAGGTTAGGTTCAACTTATGTCAAAGAACCGAATTGATTGACCCCGAATCCACATGGTACGAGTCTGTCCTACCCCTAGTGGTTTTATAGAGCCGGAGGCACGTAGTGGGAGCAGCCTCCGCCTGCTGTAACCCTCCTCCCCCTCCTCACCTCCGCAGCTTCGGCTTGTTGGTCGTCTTCGGCGACCAGCCTCAGCCACTCCGGCTCGTCCGATGCCTACGATTTGTTATGCTAAGGCGTAGAGGCTGCTCTTCCCGCAGCGCCGGAGACGTAGCAGTCTCAAAATAGATATAGAAATCCTTCTGAATCAGTCCCCTTATTTTTTTATGACGAAGGGAATTTTTTTCTCATAAAATGGATTTATATTTACATTATAAATGCAAACATGAAGATATTTTCTCTCTAAAAATACATGTTTCCGCATATTGAAACTTTGTGTGTTCTTATAAAAATGTAATCTTTCTGTAAAAATATGTATCAACACCAAACTCGACGGACGTCAATGGAAAGTCCTACCATATATATATATATATATATATATATATATATATATATATATATATATATATATATATATATATATACACATATATATATATATATATGTATGTATGTATGTATGTATGTATGTATATATATATACATATAAATATATGGTACCTAATCTAGATATGTCATTTATTTTTGTTTTCTTCTTCAATAAACATTATTGTATTATTAAATATATATACATGTCCATTTTTTATAAATAATATTCCGATACCAGCTATATTTCATAAAGACATTTTACATACTCAACAAATAACACAGCTTACAGGACTGACTAAATTATTTACAGGCTATATAAATATTCTTAATGTTTCTAGCAAATAAAAGAAAACAGTCTTTAACTAAGGTTGTTTTTTTAAACGCAATCATAGAAAATATACTTAATATAATATGATAATTTATCAGTAACACAAAAAAAAATTTTTTTTGTGTAAGAACACCTGCACTTGCAAATGGTTACATTGCAAAATTTTTATATACACTAGAAAGTAAAATTAAATTATTGCGACATTTTGTGTAAACGACACCGAGTACAAATGATAATATTTCATCCCTAATTGCAATAAATATATAAAATATTGGTACTTACCATTGGCAATTGAAGCATTAATCATGTTCGGCATTCCCGAAATAATTCTAGTAACACAAAAACTTAAGGCATAATATTTTGATGTTAGATATTGTTGTTGTATAACCGGTGCTACCTCATTGCAGGATTTATTATAAAGGATTCCAATAAATGAAATCACTATCTCATATCACACCTTTTAAAAAGATTGAATGGAGCCATAGACAAGAGATTTATAGAAATATACGTCAAGTGTCAACCTGAACTTTTTTCTTTAAAGGCAAAGGGATCTGTGTTCATATTGCGTCATCAGACGTAATTTGTTCAGAAAATTAATAATAATTTCTTTAGTTATGTTTATAGCACACGTATTTAAAAAAATCAATGATTATTAACTTTATAATGTATTTCATTATTGATTTTATCTGTTTGTAATTATTAAAAGCAATAGTAAAATGAAAAATAAAGCAAAATCAATAATAGATTCCGTTGTTTTTTTTGGTAGCAAATTTCTTTTAAATGTATACAAGTATGACAAAGGTTATAAACAATTAGCTATTATTATAAGTTGTTTTTTTTTTTACTTTTCTAAGAACAATAAATCTTAAAGTTGTATATTAACCCTACTTAAAAATGGAAATTTGTTTTTTTTTCATGTACAATTAAAGTAATGTTTTGTTATATAAACTTGATAGAAGTTGTAGTGATTTTTCAATAATGTTGTCTATACAATAAAATGAACACCATATTTCTAGCAAAACTAATTAAGAAAAAAGAATGCATTTTTCGATGTGAAACTAATAAAACTATTCACGATGCAAGTACCTTAACTTCTGTATAAATTTAAAAATATTTAAAACGATCACTTTAAGGTACACTTTATTTTACTTGCATTCATATTATCTATAACATATTATACAAGTTATCTTAAAATTAGGTGTGAATCACACCATGTGATCATAGTTCGATGTATTCGAAAACGTTTCCATATACGTAAAGGTGTCTCAAATTGCTTGCGTTGCTAAGATTACAGTTTGTATTTTGACCTGTCTTTTGTTATGTGATTATGTTATTGTTGTTAAAAATGATTACGTTGCTTTGACTTCTTTGTTCTGTTCATCTTAATATGAATGTAATAATTTGTTTTAGGTTGTATGTTGTTTGAACTTTTAAATCGTAAGCTTTAACTATTATAATTTATTGTTTTCTCGGAAAATAGTACGTACTTGTGTTGATCATGAAAATATTTACTTCGCTTAATACGATTTTGAAACTCATATTATGTTTACAATTAATTGATATAAATTTGGTTGTGCCCATATTGTGAGCCTCAATCACTGACTGACAATGATGTAACTATACATTAAGTACAAGAATATATGATATAAATTTATAAAAGACGTAAGTAAATGTATGGATAAGTTATGGAAATTATCATTTTTTTTTCAGCCCTTTTTTAATTGTAATATTTTTTAATTTAATAAATTGACTCTACTCTACTATCGGACAGTATAATTTGGATGCGGGACAACAACCACTAAAATTTCAGCATGTATATACGAATTGATCAAGCTAGCTAGAAATCAGTGTACATACAAATTGATAACCTTTCTTTTTGTGAGTCGGTTAAACTCACAAAAGAGGTTTGTTCGAACATTAACCAGATGTTACGTTGTTTGAGTCTAACGTAACATCTGGTTAATGTTTGGGTGTAAAGTGACATCTAGTTAGTAAAGGCGTTCTTATTAATAATCTCTTGATCTTGTCAATAAAAAAGTTTTTATTCTATGCTCTAAAACGTAGCCTTAGTCAATAAACAAAGCAATTAAAATCAAATAGCTGCGTTAAAATGGCGTCGAAGAATCGCGATTAGCTGATCACACCGTATTAGTTTTAAATAGGCACCCATTGTTATTATAATGTTAACACTTAGAGAAGTAGGTATCTATATATAAACATTTGAGTTTTACACAGATCGTTGCGATTAAACGTCTTAAACACAAATAGAAAATAAATATTTTTAAAAGAAAATTGTGATTTTTTCCCCACAACTAGCAACATTTGTATTATGAGAGCTTAGGTAAGTATTTTTTTAGTTTTACGTACTTATAATGAATTAAATGTATAAATTTATATGTGAAATGTAATACCATCACTTCTTTTATGTTTATCATCACAGTTGTGACAATATTTTACAACACAAGAAGTAATTTTTACAAATTTTCGCGAGCTCTTCTCCGTAAGACGTGACCAGTTCAGTTGAACATAATCAATGTTCTCTAGTATGTAGTACATATAACTCAATGACGCGAGCCGTGTATATGTACGTGAAAGAAATGACACAAATATGAATATGTAGCTAAAATGCTGAGAATAAAATGAAAAATAAATAATTGTTAAACAAGAATGAAGTAAATATATGAAGTAAAAAAGGGAACAAAGAGAAGTATTGAACTGTGAAAAGAAATATAAAAATCAAATGAGTACTATGTATTATTAAATGTCCTAACTAGATGATTTGTCTTGATGATTAAGGATACGAATAAAAATAACATAAATGTTTGCGAAAATCAAAACGTAATAATATTATATTCTATTATGTTATAAATAATTATGCCTGACTATGTCATACATACTTTTGTGAATATGCGATTTTTACTAGAGAGAGAGCATTGCCAAACGCCCTGCTCAATCTCGGTATACATTAGATTGTAGTTTTTATAACACTTAAACTTAATTTTCATTAAATATTAATTAAGATTATTCATCAATTTTATGTTTAGAATAGTTTTGAGAATGGATAAAAAAATAGATAACTTTATATTTTATTTTTTTGTCTGTGGGAGGTGTAGTGTGGTATAGCCCCCACGACTATATATATATTAGAGTTAAGTTAAGAATAGAGATGCAGTCCAAAGAGTATAGTAATTGTCCTATACAGGAAAATTTTTACTACTAGCTTTCCTCCCCCTCATGCAGTCTAATTAAAGTTAGGTATAGAAGCATCAACACGCCTCTTTTCATTGACATATTTCCTATATCACAATTTGATCTTAAAAAAACTGTAAACCATAGAGAACGTATCGTTTTCATTAGTTTAGCAAATGTTTACTAGATGTCACTTCTCTATAAATGCGGGAGGGATTTATTCTTGCTACATATTTATTAATCTGTAATATTATTGATTATTTGGCGCGAACAAGTATTTTATGTACTTATTTCATCGGAAACGAATACCTGTACCGAATTGTGATAAAAAGCTATTTAAAGTCATGTTTTATCTCATTTTTATGCAAATTAAGGCAAATTTTATGGTATGCATACAGGTTTACATAAAGCAATGTTAGGAATTAAAACAGAGTATTTAGAAATTAGTGAAAACAATTTTACGTGGCCGGGAGAAAATGGTACATTTCAAGATTTCGGATCCGTTAATTACACTATGCCATCAGGTCAGTGTTCTTGATTACTTTCTGGTTAAAAAAATATGGTTCCATTCGCAAACTAAAATAATATAACTACTTACAATGTTTCATTACTAAAGTTACAAAAATAAATTTTAGGACCATGGTATTGGCCATGGTGTCCACTGTGGCGAGTTTCACAACATCCATTATTTCAGGTAATACTGATTTTTTGTTATCGTTAGGAAAAAATAAATTTTAATCACTCTTATTGATGAACATTTTTATGATAGTTATCGAACATGCTCTTCGTGGCATCCTATTGCGCTCCAAGTACAAAAAAGGGTCAATTATGGATGCATACGATATTAATCTTTGGTAAGTATTTTTTGTAATGTCTCAATTATATAAAATTTATAATAATAATAATGCAGTTCATTTTCGCATTTTTAAGGTTTTATGCTGTATTCAATATGGGCTTGGCACGTTATATGCTCCCCGGATGCATTTTCGTGGAATTTTGGATTTGTATTCTTAAATTTGGCCCAAGTCGTGTACCTTGTATACGAAATGAGGCCAGTGAAGTTTGATCCGGAACTAGAAGAGGTCTATCATACATTATTTGAACCGTTTAAGGTACTTCCCTTCCTTTACATTCCTTAATTATATTACAACCATCGAAGTGTCGAATAAAATAATTTTTTTTGGAGTTTATGGCCTGGTATCTAGACCTTTAGGCCAAATAAAATAAATCGTTACGGCTAGGGTTGCCATTTTTTAATACAAAATTTAATATTTTCAAAGCTATTATGTAATAACATAAAAGATGGAAAATAATAAACAAAAACGTATCCGGCTTAGCTTTCCATTGACTCCCGTCGAGTTGGGGGTTGATACGTATTTTTACAGAAAAGTTACACTATTATAAGCACACACACAAAGTTACAACATGCGGAAACGCGTAATTTTTGAGAAAAATTTATTGAAAATAAATTATTCTTGCATTGTTTATATCTAATCCTACCATAAAACTGACGCCATTTTATAATGTCACTGTCGTCAGTAGGGATCTCGATTTTTTCCGAAAAAGGTCGATTTTTAAATCGATTCAAATCGTAAGCTGATGTATTGATTCATAAAAAAATCGATTTTTAAATATCTATATTTTTTATGTTTGCATTTATAATGTAAATATAATTCCATTTTATGAAAAACAAGAAAGATACCATAATAAATGATCTCTTATTAAAATTTGTTTTATTTTAACAGTACCAATTAGGGCAGATAACAAATAAAATAGGTTAGGTTCAACTTATGTCAAAGAACCGAATTGATTGACCCCGACTCCACCTGGTACGAGTCTGTCCTACCCCTAGAGTGGTTTTAAAGAGCCGGAGGCGCGTAGGGGGAGCAGCCTCCGCCTGCTGTAACCCTCCTCCCCCTCCTCGCCTCCGCAGCTTCGGCTTGTTGGTCGCCTTCGGCGACCAGCCTCAGCCGCTCCGACTCGTCCGATGCCTACGATTTGTTACGCTAAGGCGTAGAGGCTGCTCTTCCCGCAGCGCCGGAGATGTAGCAGTCTCAAAATATATACAGAAATCATTCTGAATCAGTCCCCCTATATTTTATGATGAAGGGGACTTTTTTCTCATAAAATGGATTTATATTTACATTATAAATGCAAACATGAAAAAAATATAGATATTTTAGAAATCGATTTTTTGGGAATCGATACATCAGCTTACAATTCGAATCTATTTAAAAAATCGATATTTTTCGGAAAGAATCGACATCCCTACTGACAAAACAATAAAAAATGGCGCCTGTTTTATTGTAGGATTAGACATAAACAATGCAAGAATAATTATTGATTTCCAATAACTTTTTTCTCAAAAATTACGCGCTTCCGCATATTGTAACTTTGTGTGTGTGCTTATAATAGTGTAACTTTTCTGTAAAAATACGTATCAACCCCCAACTCTATGGGAGTCAATGGAAAGTCGTACCACGTATCCAATATGAAATTACTTACCAAAAAAATTAACATCATCTTATTGACGCATGTAACGTTTTTTTTTAAATACATTTATTAATGCAATAAATTATATGTACAATCTATATATAAAAATTATGTGTCACATTGTTTGTCCGCGATGAACTTAACTAGTAAACTGATTGCAATGAAATTTTGCATACTGTGTACAGTTTGGTGCAACTTGAGAGATAGAATAGTTTTTATCCCTATAAGTGACTCAATATTTTTTATTAAGAATTTTTATAGGACACAGGGTCGTCAATGAGGGCAGAACAACGTCTGCCTGGCCAGCTAGTAAATTATATGTATTTCCTCTTTTCATTAATACTTGATGTTTTGTTTAATTTTCTCTGCATATATTTTATTTGTGATTGAATGTATATGTATGTATGGATGTATGTGTATACATATATATATATATATATATATATATATATATATATATATATATATATATATATATATATATATATATGTGTGTTCATTAAATATTATATCATTATATATTATATAATTCATATATTCATATAAATCTTATATAATAACTAGCTGACTAGGCAGACGTTGTTCTGCCCTTTTCGACAACCCTTCATATAAAAAATCCTTAAATTCGTAATAATAAAATATTGAGTGTTATTTATGAGGATTAAAACTGTCCTGTCTCTCAAGTTGGACCAAACTGCACAGAGTGTGCAAATTTCATAAATATATAAAGGTAGGTTTGTTGTCCTCAGTTTTATATTGCACCTTTCCGGCAAAATATATTACATTGTCCTTTTACATTCGGTTTGTCAGGTAGAAATCACTTAAAGCGATATGACCATCGTTTGTAGTTGATAAGTTTTCTGTAATTTTAACCACTTTGTATAAATGCAATAAAGAGATCTATCTATCTATTTACAATTAGCTTGAAAATCAGAATTTTTTAAAGACCTGGCAACATCGTCGATGGCTACGACATATTTTTAATTAAACGTTTGTGAAATATGGGTGACAAACAAGGAGTTTATAATATAATATAGGGAGTGAGCGCTTAGAACATTGTAACCGTTCCTCATTTTTCTTGGAAAGAGAGGCACCGAGTTTGGTATTTTATCCCCTTCTAACATTGATAAGTGTTTACACAAGATAAAAATGTTACCAACGTTTAGATAGTTATTGACTTAAAATAATATTTTAGACGTATGCTAGAACGATAATCTTGTATTTTAATTAAGCTTATTAAGTAACACGAAAAAAAAACCCACTAAAACACTTTAATGTATGAAATTTATGACTCCAAATGTCAAACAATTAAATTCTAATGTAATTTTAAATGGAGAGAAAGTGAGTTTTGTAGATACCATACTTTTTCTTGGAATCACATTAGATGCCAAGCTTCAATGGAGCCCCCATATATCAAAATTAGCAAGCAGACTTAGCTCTGCAGCATATGCTGTGAAAAAGTTTAGAAGTCTTACCAGTGTTGAAACAGCTAGACTATTTTACTTTAGCTATTTTCATAGCATAATATCGTATGGTATTTTGCTATTGGGACACGCAGCTGACACTGAAATTATATTTCTTTTACAGAAGAGAGCCATAAGAGCAATTTATGATTTAAAGCCTAAAGAGTCGCTGCGACAAAAATTTAAGGAAATTAATATATTAACTTTGGCCTTTCAATACATTTATGAAAATGTAATGTGCCTACACAAAAATAAAAGTAGTTTTACAAAAATAAGTGATATTCATTCTGTAAATACTAGGAATAAACACAAGCAAGTAGTACCAGTTACTAGACTCCATCGAGTCAGTAATTCATTCTTGTATACGCTTTTACAACAAAATTCTAGAAAATATACAAAATTTGACCTGCTCAAAGTTCAAAAACTTTAATAAACTAAGTTTGTATAAAAAGGGTTATTATAATATTAAAGAATTAATGGATGATGTGAAATGAGGTGATCGCTACCAAGGTATTTCTAATTTGTTATGTTAATTTATGTAACAAAAATGATTGTAAACTGTTATTTAAAAGAAGTTCCGCTGGGTTTCTTGCTGGGTTTTAGCAGCACAGAGGTTTTTTTTCGAACCAGTGGTAATTAAACAAAAGAGTGACTTTCAATAAGTATGATTTATTATCTATATTGAATAAAAAGGTTTCTGTTTCTGTTACACGAATGTTCTTTCCCTAAAAACTAGGAGGTGCATTTTACGCTATAGATGACAACACTATTTTAAAATTTGACGTTGTCAAATGAATGAATATATTGTTTTTTTTCTTTTTTTATAGAATAGGGTGACAAACGAGCACACAGTCCACCGGATGGTAAGTGGTTGCTGTAGCCCATAGACATCTACATCTATGCTAGTTTGCGAATCAAAATGCAGATGCGTTGTCACCCGTGAGGACTAAGATGGAATGACTCTTTTCCAGTAAAAAGGGTCTCCAGTTCTCTACACTCACGATACGAAATATATCAGTGTTGAGCTGCTATTTTACGCTGGTATTCTGTGAGTGCGTGGTCCTTCCCGGTCGAGTCGACCCGTTTGTGCTACAACTATACTACTTATATAGCTGCAGCATGGCTCTACTACGTAGAAAACGCCTTGTGCTAATCATTCGCTAAATCTACGTGGAGTGTGCTCACTTAAGGAGCGTTAATTCAAGTTTAACTTTTTTTCGGAACAGTTTTTACAGGTTGTTTTCATCATCCACACGTCAATGGGAAACTTTAATAAAAAGTGTAGGCGTATCCGTCAAAAGACTCTCAGAGACAAAATGAATTGCTCATCATGACGTTGTTAACCCCTGCAGAATAATAAAAAAAAAAACTAGTACAAACACTCGAAGATATATATGATCCCAGCACCAACAGAGAAAACGTCGATACAAAAGAAGCAGTATCTACACTCTTACCAGCTTTGTGTAACTTTAGTTTTTTATGCTATCTTTGCTTTTGGTGTAAAATCCTAATAGAAGTTAGTCAGACACAAAGGCAAATACTAAATAATATAATAATAATCTAGATTATCACTGGAAAAGTATGATATAAAAATCAAAGCACAAAAATTTTTCTTCAAAGCCAATGTATTCAACTAGTGGAAAAAGCTATTCCCTACGTAACAAAAAAGTGAGAATGTGGAAATTTCGATTGAAGGAAGAAGAGGAATGAGGAGATTTTGAAAACGTTTTCCAGGAGAAAGACCCGATATGCTGGTCTAACATTGCCAGAGGAGCTGCAGAGGGCTATGTTAGAATGTCTTGACAGATTTTACGAGGAACTAGACTATCGCTACTGAGCAATGGATGATATTCTCATGACATTTAGTGTTGTTCAGCCTTACAGTCTGCTAACGTCACCAGATGAAGATCTTCAAATAATAGTTCAAAATCTGACAGAAATCTGCGATGATTTTTCTGCAGGATATATAATTTTGGAGACTTCACGATTTGAAAGCTACCAGCATTTCTTCCCAAAAAGCGGTTCAATTTAACTCATTGGAGCTTTTCTCGTAAAATTGGGCTGTTCTGAATCTGTTCCAAATCTAACGCTGTGTCTAAGATTTTTTTTACTATTTAGTTTCATGTGAAGGAAGCTTATCAAAACTCAAGTTAATAAAATCTAACTTAAGGTCCACAATGAGCCAAGCGGGACTAACCAATCTTTCCATTTTATCTATCGAAATTTCAAGAAAGTAAACTTTGATTATATATTAGAATATTTTAGCAAAATAAAGTCCCGTTAGCATGTATGGCATTTTTTGTTTTATTTTGGTAGAAAACCGCCTTGGGTGTCAACCCACGCTACGTCGCCACTAGTTACCGTAAGATTTGATACTGTAGCGAAGCAATAATATAATCAAAATATTAAACGGAGTTTAATTATAACACTATTCAGCACTTTCCACATTGAAAAAAAATACTCATTTCGTTTTCCGTGACGCTGTATAATATTCTCAAAATATTGTATCATGGACACACTATTAGAAAGAAATGCAACGCCTAACTCGGTGCCTTTCATTCATTTCAAGGTCACTGATTTAGGAACGTTTCTCTAGTATGAAGTGCGCACTCCCTATATTTTACAATCTCCTTGGTGACAAACGAGCACACAAACCACCCAATGATTTGTGGATGCTGTGGCCTATTGACATCTATAATATTATCTATCCTCGATTAACCACCAAAGCTCGCTTTTCACTATGGAATATAATATATGTTATATCCCGCGATTGGCTTTCACACTGTGAGATATATCTTTTAACCAGTGTCCGTTCGTCATTGGATTACATTTACAGTTTACACCGCACTCGTCGTTTACAAACAAAATGGATATTTGCTTGATAGACTCGGCAGTTCATCAGAGGGAGATGATGCAGAATTCGGTTTATGGGTATTACTTTTAAGTAAAAACAGGGAGCGTCGATACTGGATATCAAATCATATAAAGTTTAGAGGGGAGTATGGTGAATTTAGACCTTTTAATGAATTATATTAAGAAAAGTTACGAATACAAATGAGTATACGCACTACGCAAAAGTTCATTCAGGGAATGACAGACACGAAATTGAGGACGTAGCGGTGGCGCGGAACGGTATGCGGTGTACAGGGGGCGAAATGTAATATAAAATTAATAAGTTCAACAATCATTTATCTTTCTAACAATGTGCTTTTTATACTCGTATCATTTATATGTATAATTGCTAGATACGACTTCATGCGACAAAACATTGGAATTTTAAGTTTTAGGCGCTAGTAGAACGTACCTACGCGCTTTGCGCTTAAGGCATGCAATATCGCTCGGTTAATTGAAAAAATATTTATAGTATGGGATGAGATGTAATATATATTACATCTATGTATTACATTTATTACATTATAGCCCATAGTGAAAAGCGGGCTCAGACCCCGACATTTTATTGGACCAATTTAGTCGGAACTTAGTCAGAGAGCAGACAAGGACAATTTTTTTTTAGATAAATGTAAAAATAACTTATAGCCATTTTGCCAATTAATTTTATTAAAAAATGGCAACTAAATAAATAATTCGTGTTTGTTGTTTGGTGTTCGCTGTTTGCCGTTGTTTTCCAAGCATGTGGAGGCGGCTTAAAATGAGAACTATAGTACTGCGAACATTAATCCGTTTGCAAGAAGAAGTTCCGTCCATTTCGCGAACTGTTACTGGCTGCTGATGAGGTGGTCGTTTAATTTAGCTCAAATATTTCTTTTTTGACTGACTTTTTTATCCATATAGTATATTATACGTAATGCCACATATTAAATTGTGGTTACAAATTTATTTAGGTGACAAGATTACAATTCAAGCGCATGGTTTCCCCGGACTTCGCTCATATTATGTCGCTTCACGCAGGAGAAGCGTATGCCATGCAGAATCTGACAAAGACAGATCGTCTGGGACTACTTTTATCTGGAAAAGTATGTATTAATGTGAATCTTTGTTTTGAATTAATTGCACAATGATATTTTGGCCGATTTCGACCATAGAATTAGAATACACTTGCGTAGTTTATTCTAAGACTATGATTTTGACCAGGTTTCGGAAAGACAACCTTGGCCGGGGCGATAGACTGAACTCTGTAATATATAATGTACTCTGTGGACTGAACTATGCTTAATTACCTGACAGTCAAAAGTCATTGTGGGTAAACATATACATGTTTATGTCAAGGAAGACATAACGTACATACGTACGTTTTTATTCTTATATTATAGTATTATTATCTAATATCATTAACATGTAAAATAAACACAAAAACGGAATTAATATTCTGTTTTATAATTTATTCATCATTATTGTAGACCTAGCTGTTCCCCGCGACTAGGCCCAGGTGTAATTTATGGTTTTAATTATTTTGCGCGAAACCCTAATTCTTTTCTAAAATGAAAGTCATCTAAGTTACTCCTTTTAACATCAAGGTATCCGCCAGTGAAAGTGCCGTCAAAATCGGTCCATCCATTTCGGAGATTAGTCCGAACAAACAAACAGACAGACAGACCGACATACATACAGACAGACAAATATTTTAAAAATTGTGTTTTTGTTACAAGTATTGTATATGTAGGATGTATAGTGGGTATAGTACAGAGACTGATTTTGTAGTTAGGAATAATAATTAATTCGTTTACACGAATTAATTATCCAACGAGTCGAGGATAAACTAGTAACGGAATACAACAAGCGCACCGTTCCACGTCAGAGCCAAGACTGTCCTAACGGCGGCAGCTCTGTCCGTTTTATACAAGCTAAACGGGTGCCACCGCAGTGCAATGGTGCAGGTGTGCGGAGCACGTGTTATTTACAAGAATTCTGTCTATCTACACCGACGGCGCCGCACGTGCAATGGTGCTGGTGCCGTCACGGCCATACTGACATGCGTGCGTCCTCGCACGCGCTCTGTACTGTTTTCGCTAGTCCGGAATAACTATTCCCTATAGCCATATCATTGTACCGGCAAACGCCCTGCAATGATAGTAAGAACCACATTTTTTTTCTTACTCTCTTTTTTTTTTCAATTCAGTATAGAACAGTTACAGACCAACCATACCGCAAACATGTCCCCGTCACAATCACACAAAAGTGTATCGTGAGGGACGTGTGACACGATAACACCTAAGTATGTAAACCAACATCAACACGACACATATCCCAGTGCAGCACAAACTAGCCTCCCTGCAACTTCATGTTCCTTTCCTGCACTAGAATAATTACTCCGCTAGAGTGTTGCAACGTCTCTAGTATTTTCTAGATGCACAGACACGGCTACCTCTGACTGTCGCACGTCCTCGTGCGGTTGACAGTGAACAGCATACGGTCTATCAGTTTTCACCACCTGCTAACAGATATTAACTCTTGTTAAATATTACAACGGTCGACCATCCCAGACTTAATTTAAGTCTGAAACGCGCCGATATGGCTACCTCCAGGCAAACGCACTACAGCTTTTCGTTCTGCTGCGTTCGTGCCACATTCGCGCCAGCAAGCCGTCGCGCCGTATTAGCGCTAGCGAATCGTCGCACTGCTTTGCAAAATTAAAAGAAATCGAGATAAATGTATTGCGAACCATGGAATTCCGAGCTTCCAAAATTCATACATATTCTCAAGAAACGGCAACTGTACATTTGAAAACATTGCAAAAAAAAATGGAAACTATGTGTAGAGACAGATACCACAACATATTTCGAAGCGAAGGAGGCAACTGCGCAAAATCTACGAAAGCCGTTCATTTACAGAGCCAAAGCACCATTTGTTCGGCGGCCGCTTGAATTGCCCTGCCGTAAGATCAGCCGATAAGTAACCGACTGTAGCGGTGTAGGCTCAATCTAACCAGCGCTCGGCCGTACCTGACCATATTCGATTAGCCATCACGTCTTCCTCACTGATCATTGTTGTAGAGACTTCTACGAATCCCTCGACATCAAACCCCAATCTTGTCAACGACACAATATTCGGAGTAAACTGCAACACTGATCAACACATTAGAACACAAAAATGTCACTTATTATTTTCAATTCATAGCGTGTTAAAGTTAATCCTTTATTGTAGTACAACCATTCATCATTACAGCCCTTCACAAGTCCACTGCTGAACATAGGCCTTCCCCAAAGAATGCCACAAAGCACGGTCCTGAGCCACCTGCATCCATCGACTTCCTGCATATCTTACCAGGTCGTCACTCCATCTAGTGGGGGGACGCCCTACACTTCGCCTGCCGGTACGAGGCTGCCACTCGAGAACCTTTCTTTCCCATCGGTTGTCGGTTCTTCGAGCTATATGGCCGGCCCATTGTCACTTCAGCTTACTAATCCGTTGGGCTATGTCGGTCACTCTGGTTCTACTGCGGATATCCTCATTTCTGAGTTTATCACGCAGAGAAACTCCGAGCATAGCCCTCTCCATAGCTCGCTGAGCGACCTTGAGCTTCCTCATCCGGCCAGCAGTGAAGGACCACGTCTCAGTTCCGTATGTCATCACTGGCAACACGCACTGGGTGTACAGTCTCGTTTTCAAGTTTTGAGGTATACCTGACGAGAAGATGTGCCGTAATTTCCCGAACGCTGCCCAACCGAGTTGAATCCGTCGATTGACCTCTCGGTCGAAGTTGGACTTACCTAGTTGGACTATTTGTCCCAGGTAAACATACTCGTCAACAACTTCGAGCTTAGTGTTCCCAACAACTACCGGCATAGGTGTGACATGGATATTAAACATGATCTTTGTTTTGTCCATGTTCATCTTAAGACCTATCCGTTGGGTACAACCCTTAAACGTTTTGAACTTCAAAATATAGCAAATGATAATCATGTTTCGCGTGGACTATCAAATTACAACAAAACTTGAACAAGTTAATTACAATGCCTCCAACATTTCTTTTGACATTTGTTAACATATTTAGGTACGTCAAGAAATAATGAAAATACTTGCGGGTACTTTTAATACTAATCGAACAAATTAAAAAAAATTTGCTTAAATAATTTCACTGTATCTTTTCTCTACACTTTAATGATACGATAACATCGTAAGTAGGACAGCAAATTTCATTACGGTATTTAACATAAAAACAAAATCATCAATGCAGAATGCATTATAGTCTTTCACAAATGTAATAATCCTCATACTATTCGAAGATTGTATGTGGGCAAAAATGGGACTTTATCCCACCTCTGATGTAAGAAGTATAGTGGGTATAGTACAGAGACTGATTTTGTAGTTAGGAATAATAATTAATTCGTTTACACGAATTAATTATCCAACGAGTCGAGGATAAACTAGTAACGGAATACGACAAGCGCACCGTTCCACATCAGAGCCAAGACTGTCCTAACGGCGGCAGCTCCGTCCGTTTTATACAAGCTAAACGGGCGCCACCGCAGGTGCAATGGTGCAGGTGTGCGGAGCACGTGTTATTTACAAGAATTCTGTCTAGCTACACCGACGGCGCCGCACGTGCAATGGTGCTGGTGCCGTCATATATACTTTCATATGCATTTAGTAAAATCTGTTAGTTTGACATTACAAACAGGCACTAATTACGTTAGCTGCAGCCGCAGGACCTAAAAAAAAATCAATTGTTAAAATATAAATTTAATAAAAGAAAGTTTACATTAATTCTATAACTAAATTAAAATAATTAGCTAGGTCGAAGTGTGATCGAAGAATGACGAAATCCGATGCTCACTTCCACGGGCGTCGGGTTGTCGGCGCCTGCTGACTCGGCGTCTCGTGACACGCAGCTCCGTCGTGTTCGTCTTTAAGTAGGTTTTACATACTTGGCGATTTCCGTGTAATAGAACTACCTAATTCCTCCCCCCACAATTCAGCGACTATTTTCCGACTTTGAGGGAAAATGTTGCTGGATATGCTTTTGCGTTTTTAGGATCTTCATAGGAATGCTTTCCAGGTGCTGGCGGCTGGCTGCTCTGCTGTTGCGGCTTACTGCGTCTCCACAGATTGAAACGTCGACAGATTATTACAATGGCTGTTGTGATAAGCGAGCCAATTATCATTACATAAATGGGAATAGTTGTGTGGTACAGAGTGTTGCTAGTTATGGTGTCTTGTACCATTATCGGCTCTCTCATGACTTGATTGTAGGCTTCATGTAGTTTTCTCAGGTCGATGGATTGCAGCGAGATTCTGTGTTGAGATGTGGTTTCCTCTTTGAAGTTAAGTGGGACATCGGTAATTATTAGTGGCTGACCGGATATTTGGTTGTTCTCGATGACTATTGTAAATTCTGACCAATGTGATCAATGTGCAATTTAAGGGTATGGTTTCCAAATAGCTCTCTTGAAGCTGCTTGTATTCTTCTCTTCCGCGTCGTAGATGGATTCTTGTAGTGCGAGGGAACGTGACAACATAGTTCCCGGCGTCCAGTTGCTCCATGGCTTCCTTTTCCAGTGTTATAGTGGTCAGGTTGCAGTCATATCCTAGGGCGTGGTTTGTGACGAGCTCTCGTGTGCAGTCGTGATGATTCTTGACTCTGTTTATGGTATCGTCTTCGTAGAAGTACTGCTGGTCTACCTTCGGGCATTCAGCCTCCATATACGCATACGCTTCCGTATTGGTTGCTAGGAAAGGAAGGGGTGGAATAAGGATCTTATTATACCTATTCGGAGCTATCGAAAGTTTATACAGATCGAATATGTTCGCACTAACTATGGGAACTTTAAAACCTATCTGTTTTGCGACGTAATATGAACCTGGTTTTATGATACTATAATAGTCGCGTAAGTCTAAATTTAATATTCTATCATCCCCATATATCATTCTTACTCTTTCTATCATTAACCTTAAAGTATCGATATCTATCATTGAATGATGCGTGCTTAAGGCACGCACAATAGTTAGCACGTTTTCTATTCTAACTAATTTTCCCAACAAATCATCGACGTTTTCTGTTATGATGGTCAGAAGCTGAGCGAAATGAGCATATTTTATTAAACTATTTTCTTTATAAGCAGTGCTATTCAACAAAAGTTCTAACGTAGCATTAATTGATTGCTGATTTCTAACTAACTGGTCTATGACGCCGTTTTGTTGCGTCATCCATTCCTTGTTGAGGCTTATGTGCGAGTTAAATTCCGATATAATTTTAACTTGGTTATCATCGAGATTTTTTATTGCTATTCCTGTTAAGATTTTAATGGCAGATTCTAAGCCATCAATTAAACCTCTCTTCGCTCGACTATGTTCGAGTCCTTTTAAATGATTTAAAACTCTATGTGAATTTTATGAGATAAATAGTTAATTTGAAGAGAATATAGGGAAAACGTATCATTATTAAGTGGCGAAGCTTGCGAAGTCACTTATTGATTTCACGATGTCTGTCCGTCTGTCCCACGATTATCTCGAGAACGGTTTCGAATTTTCAAATTCTGTTTTCAGCAATCGATTACTGATCACCCAGGCATCTGAACCTCCTATTTTGAAACTGATTGCTCAACGGCAACCGTTAGAAACCGCTACAAAGCTGATTGCTTCGCCACTTTGCTATGCTGTTAGCTTGCTAGGTTTATTTAATCTTAATTCAAAGTCAGATAACTCTTGTCTCACCGCAATAGTTTTGTCTTCTATATTATTGATGCGAATATACTGTAAAAAGCTATGGTAATGTGACACTAGACGAGTTCGACCTAATTTATAAGGAAGGAGGCCAGGACCATCGTTGAGACTTTCAAGTCTTATCTTCTGTGTTTGAGTAAGATGCACCATCATCACCAACGGAATTCTGTAACAATTTAGCGCTATTAGGGACTCGCTTAATGCGAGCTTTGGCAACGGGACCACGTTTTCGTGAAGTATAAATAATATGTATAGGTAGGTTCATCATCATTCATCATCATTACAGCCCTTCACAAGTCCACTGCTGAACATAGGCCTCCCCCAAGGAATGCCACAAAGCACGGTCCTGAGCCACCTGCATCCATCGACTTCCTGCATATCTTACCAGGTCGTCACTCCATCTAGTGGGGGGACGCCCTACACTTCGCCTGCCGGTACGAGGCTGCCACTCGAGAACCTTTCTTCCCCATCGGTTGTCGGTTCTTCGAGCTATATGGCCGGCCCATTGCCACTTCAGCTTACTAATCCGGTATAGGTAGGTTAGCCAGAACGATATATATATTATACGAACGATACCTCTATTTTGGGAAACGCTGGTTATGCATTCGTGAATGACACAGTTACATAAAATTTGTTCAGGAATATAGACGTCACCATCACTACTGTCAATAGGAATTCTAACTAACTTTGAAGTATTCGCAGGAATTATAACCTTGTACAGGTTAACGTTTCGCGAATTATATAACAATATTGGGTTCACTGCAGACCGAGTAGTTAAATGTAATGCTTTTAAGTCGACCTTTGCTTCCCACTTAGTCAACAGATCGAGCCCAATTAACCCGTCGAAATGGTTATGAAATTTATACACGAAAAACTTTATCGGTTCGCTATCGTTAATTTCCGGAAAACAGGGCACTGTAATTGAATAATCATTTCGACTAACAGCGTGAACATTAGTGACTTCGAAAGGATCATAATTTTTGTAGTTGGTAATGAGGGAAAAATCTTTTTACAGCATGCGGGCTCAAAAATGATTGATTCGCTCCGCTATCGATGAGAAGCTTCAACGGAGGGTCTAAGATCTGAATAAATGGTAGCTGATGATGGGTCTGCAAATTGACTTCTATCTTGGCTTGTTTGAAGGGAAATCCTCGTAAAAATTTTCCTGTTGGCTAGTGGAGGGCTGAGGATCGCTTTCTGTGTCATTGACGCTTGGATAATCGTTTACCGGAACAAACTCGGGACCGTAACTTTCGTGGTTTACATAGTCATTATAACCACTCGCGTAAGATGGACATTCGTAGTAATCCGCGTAATAGTTGTTGTAGTCAGGCTCATAGTAATAGTTATCATAGCCGTCACACTCGTTAAGATTCATTTCACGGCTTTTAAAATAATTCGTAGGTGGTAGGTTACCGTGCTTATTCCAATCATGGCCACTTAATCGTCCTGTAGGAGGTAAGGCTTTAGGCGTGAAATGTTGAACACCGCTTATAGGCTTAGGGCCAAGATTCTGAGGCTGCTGATAACGAGGGTGAATACGGAACACATTACTACGTGGGTTATAATGGGGTGGTGGTGCACTAAACATTTGTTGAGTACGTGTTGGCATGCGGTACTGAGACTGATGTTGAGGGCCCGCATTGAACTTAAATTGATTTTGCGGTTGAGTAAATTTAAATGGTTGAGGTTGAGGTGGCATCCACATCGGTCTCTGTTTAGCTGGTGCTAACATCATAGGTGGAGGCTAAAAATTTTGCTTAGATTGAGAAGGCATTGGAATTGGTATTTGTGGTCTTTGAGGCGGCTGGAGAGTTTTAGGGTGTACATCATTATTACGCTGTTGCAAATATAAAATATTTAATTCCTCCTGAACAAATTTCAATGCCTGCTCTATTGTAGAAGGGCTGGCATACACCTTATTCTAGACCCTAAGGGCTCATGTAAGCCACGAACGAAAGCCTGCATAGTGAGCTTTTTATACAATGTCCGCTTAGACTCGATAGTGGTCAGGATAGTTTCGTGCAACGATATATATGTCATGATGGTACTAAAAAGAGTTTGACAGTGATCGTAAAACTCCTGAGGGCTTTTGTGGCCTTGCGAAGCTAAGGAAAGGTCATTGTATAGCGCAGTTTCGTCTCTTTGATCTGCGAAGTTATTAATAAGAGATTCGCGAATCCCTAGTCAATTATCAGGGATGCCATTAGAATTTATGATTGAAGCCGCAGGCACGGTGATTTTATTCAAAATTCCGTTCAGTAAACATAAATTAGATAATTCACTACCGGCTTCAGAGCTCATGTAAGTTGAACGACTTGGTCGCATATTTTAATAAATCTCGTGAGAATATTTGGATTACCGTCGAAATCTGGCACGGGGCGCAAGGCCTTATACATCACATCGGCATCATAAGGCATTTTGGAATTTAGTGAATTTAAATTTAATACTTCTTCAATATTTCTTAAATTATCTAAATCTATATTTCGGCCCACTACGTAACCCCACAAATAATACAAGACTTGTTTACCTAAACTAAATACAAGTACCTATTGTTTGCCGCGTATTTTGTCATGATAAGATGCTGACTTCGATCATTCGGGCCCATGAATAAGAGAAAAATGGTTTAAAATAATATGCTAAAAATCTTTACAGGTATCTACCGTAGCGCAAATAACTGTTTACTTTTTTAAAATTGATAGAACACAAACTACGAGTAATTGATAAATAAAATAAATTAAAACTCAAGGACGACAATCATTCGCAGCAAAGCAATGGTCAACGCAAGGGTTATTGTTAAATAATTAACCTAATTAAAAAATTCAAGCAAAGATCTATTTGTACAAAATGCCTCTCTTTCAATAGCGAGTTGTACCTATATTTCATAACTTTACTCCATTAAAATTCAACCTATAGTTAGTTTCATTTTCATGCATGTTTGAATACATAACATAATTTCTTATTTTTGTGCCTCTAAAGAGCAAAATATGATTAAGAAATGCACAATCACAAATCTATTTGATATTATTGAAATAAGTTTGGCCTTGAAAGAAGAAGTGGATATCTCCTGCCGGGCAAAGTCCAGTGAGTTGCCAATGCTCCTTGTGGTTGTACGGCTTCTTCTATGTTCAGTTTCAGAACAGTTCGGACAGTTCGTTAGTGTGATTCAAGTTTCCGCCAGTTTACGATTTTGTGCGCAATGACAGCGCCCCCACATAGGTAAACATTACCACATCCACTTACCCTTCACTTCTTTTTTAATTAGTGATGAGGAAAATTATTTATTTATTCTCATATACTCGTAGCGAAACGGGAAATCTAACGTAAATACGTTAGATTTCCCCAAATCCACAAAGGAAAGTCATTCTATTGAAACTACTTTATCCTCAACGGTGGTGAATTATGCGAATCGTAATTTGTATTCAGTGAGTCGTGACACAGCAAGGAAACTTAAAACAATTTCTGTCTGTGAGCGTGCCAATATTTGCTGTTAATAGCTGTTGCGAGTGAGCGAGGCTGCCTAACGGCGCGGACGTGCTTTCTCACGACTTCACCTTTACTTTACGTGATGTTTACTCTAAAAGTAATTTATCTGTGTATTGTACTTGCTTATCTTATATTACATCCGAATCCAGGCCTAGGAAGCTTAACTTAATTTTTAAAGTAGGTACGTTGGAAGCCTACGACACGATATGCTCAGATGACGTCGTTAGCGACGGTCTTTCCAACTTCCCTTTTACTTTTAGAGTACGATATGAATCCTGTGTTATGCAGCAGGACGGTTATAGGTTATAACTAACACAAACTGTACTGTAGTGGCGACTTGAGAGAAAGACTAGGATGCGAAAGAACAGGAACACTTATGGTGCTAGTCGTCTGGCACTAGCGTCGTCAATTAAACGGACTGTCATGTGGTACTTACGACAAATCCTTTAAGTTTGGAAGCGTTCCGTGTCCTGCTGCAGATTGTTTATATGCTGTAGGTTGTTAAAATTATTACATTTCTTTATATTCAATGTGATACTTATTTTCAACCTAAGAACTGAAATGTCATTATCATTATAATTTCGTAATTAATATCAAAATTTTACTAACACTAATGTTGCTTCACCATTTTTTGGAGCTAAAGTATGTTTTAATAACAGGTAAACGTCATGAGCGGTCACCAATTCCTGCATCCCATCCTACCGTGCGAGTTCTTAGACTCGCCTGAATTCGAATCCAGTCGAGCGACGATCGACGAAAAATTTAAGGTCAGAATGCCTTGATGCTATAATAACTTAGGTACTTAGAATGTTATAAGATTTTATCAGCAAACGGTGAAAATAAGTTCTTTTATACTAGACACACCCAATATAAATTGCATTAAATATGAATGTTTTTAAAGCCGAAATACATCATCACCTGATGAAGTTGATTAAAAAAGAACAAAAAAAATCATCTTATGATGTATTTTGGACATATGCCTCTCCTGTTATAGGGGTGGGGTTAGGGGAGGGGATTTGACATAATCGCCACGCTTGGCAGGTGGGTACTAGATGTCTCGTACCTTTGAATTTGTCTCCCTTTCCCATGGTGGGCACAAGCCTCCTCTTATTTCCGAGAGGGTTGTGGAGTAATTTGTCCGCCGCGCAGTTCTAATGCGTGTTAGAGAACTGCACATGTCCTTGCAATATTATAAAACTAGCTGTGCCCCGCGACTTCGCCCGTGTGGAATTTATTACGATTAGATTTTAAAGGTTTTAATTTTTTTGCGCGGAACCCTAATAATTTTTCTAAAATAAAAGTAGCCTAAGTTACTCCTTATAACATTAGTTATCTGTCAGTGAAAGTCCGGTCAAAATCGATCCAGTCGTTTCGGAGGTTAGCCGGAACAAACAGACAGACAGACAGACAGACAGACAAAATTTAAAAAATAGTGTTTTTTGTTATAGGTACCGTATATACTTTCATATGCATTTAGTAAAAAGCTGTTATTTTGACATTGCAAACAGACATTTCAATTTTTTTTATTTGTATAGATAGTAGACATACAGTTTTCTTCACGATGCGATGTTTTCTCTCACCCACAGACAACACCGAATAAACACAGAAACCTTCAACGTCGAGCACGTAGTAAATTAGCACTTAAAATTGTGAATTAACAACTTCATTTGCGCCGAAGGAGCCCGACAATAAACATCAAAAATAATTTGAATAATAATTGCATTGTTAAAGTTATTTTCATCGTATTTGCTAGCGGTCATTATATTATGCATATGACAACGTTTTTGTTTTTGATGATTAAAAAATCATTGCTTATGTTTCATACTGCGTTTCTTTTTTGTTATATCTTATCATCAACTAGGATTTAAAAAAATGTTGAAATTTTCAAAATAATTGCTTCTGTTTACAACAAACGATATATAGTACTAAGTAGAGATCATACTAAACTTACCTTCTTTGTCAACCCGTAAATGGTCCAAAGCTGATCAAAAGCCTCTTCTTTGGCATGGTGGATATGAACCTTTAGTCTACTCACCAAGTGAAACTGGACTGTGTGCGGTATGGTTTGTCATGGTGCAATAGGATGCGGCTACTTATTCGTTTTTCCCAAACTTTTTGAAATACACGGGTACATAACGGAAGAATTAGCTGTCGTTTGCTCATCAAATAATGGGATCGTGCAGATACGACCCGTCAAGGGGTTTAAAAAGTCCAATCAGTTTTGTTGGTTTGTTGTCGTTTTCGAACACCGCCACGGAAGACTGTCGCTTTCTTTCCGAAATGTAATAATATACCCATGTTTCATCTCCTGTCACAATGTCATAAACTGCATTTGAACGCCCGTGATCATACTTTAACAACTTTTTTACATCCATCAACTCAAGTTCGTTTTTGTTCTGAGGAGAGCTCATAAGGAATCTAGCGGCAAGTAAGTTTAGGAACTTTTGAATATAGATGGAATTTTTTTTAATTTGGCTTATACCAATATCCAAATGTCCTCGAATCTCCTTAAAGGTGATCCACGGGATTTCTTTTTTTTTTATTTTTTATAGAAGAGGGGGCAAACGATCATGCGGCTCACGTGATGTTAAGTGACTACCGCCGCCCATGAACAACTGCAACACCAGGGGAATCGCAGATGCGTTGCCGGCCTTTTAAAAAGGAGTAGGCTCTTTTCTTGAAGGTCCCTAAGTCGTATCGGTCCGGAAAAATCGCTGGAGGTAATTGATTCCACAAGGAAGTTGTGTGAGGAAGAAAACTTCTTCAAAATCGCACAGTGGTGGACCACCAATCATCCAGATGGTATGGATGGTATCGCGAGTTTTGTAGCGATGTGCGATGGTGAAATTGGGCGGCTGGAATTAGTCCGAACAATTCCTCAGAGCACTCCCCGTGATAGAAGCGATAAAATACGCAAAGAGATGCAACATCTCTACGCAGTGCCAATGAGTCAAGCCGATCGGAAAGAACTCGGTCGTCGACGATTCGAACTGCTCTTCGCTGGATGCGGTCAAGTGGAAGGAGCTGGCACTGGGGAACAGTAATCCATGTGAGGCCGAACCTGCGCCTTGTAAAGTTGCAAGCGGTGTGCCGGCATGAAATACTGTCCCTCTCTGCTGAGCACGCCAAGCTTTTTAGAGGCCAATTTGGCCTTCTCTTCCAAGTGACCACGAAACTGCACGTTACTCAATATGTCGACACCAAGGATCCCGATACTGGCTGAGGCAACAAGAGGGGTGCCTTGAAACTGAGGAGATACGATAAAGGGGTTCTTTTTAGCGGTAAACGCGCAAACTTGTGTCTTCTGGGGATTGAACTGGACTAGATTTAGTCGACCCCAGTCTGAGACTTTGTTCAACAAAGTCTCGACTTCAGACACAAGTTTGTTCCGGTACTCGGCGACGTATTCTCGAGAAATATTGGCACGGCCGGTGTATAAAGCATCACCAGTGCTGTCGTCCGCATAGCAATGAATGTTACTGGTTTGCAACATATCATTGATATGCAGAAGAAACAGCGTTGGTGATAGTACGCAGCCTTGTGGAACACCAGTGTTATTGGACTTGTAATCGGAGCATTCACCGTCTACTACGACCTTGATGCTCCGATCTGCAAGAAAACTGGTGATCCAATTGCACAATTTCTCGGGAAGCCCATAGGAAGGGAGCTTCGAAAGAAGCGCTTTGTGCCAAACCCGATCGAAGGCCTTCTCTATGTCCAAACTAACGGCCAACGCCTCCCCCATCTATGAGTTAGGTAACCTAAAAGATCACCAACTGAGCGACCTCGACGAAAACCGTACTGGCGGTCACTAATCAGCTGGTGACCCTCAAGGTACTGCATGAGCTGGCTGTAAATAATGGTTTCCATTACTTTGGAGAACAAGGAGGTGATAGCAATAGGCCTATAGTTGGACGGATCTGAGCAGCCGCCTTTTTTAGGGATCGGGTGAACCAATGCTGTCTTCCATGAGTTTGGGACTACGCCAATGGAGTAGGAGTACCGGAAAAGACGCGTTAAAACCGGTGCCAGCTCCGGAGCACACGTCTTCAGCACAATAGGTGGGACTCCATCAGGCTCACTCGACTTGTTGACGTCCAAGGAGAGGAGTGCTTTACGCACCGAGCGCTATGTAAACAGCACTTCCTGCATGGAGCACCCACACCGCGGGATGGTCGGCGGTGTGTTCCCCCGTCATCTAGAGTCGAGTTGGTAGCAAAAAGAGAGCCTAGCAGATCGGCTTTCTCCTTTGCGTCATGGGCTAGTGAGTCGTCCACCCTGTGCAGAGATGGCAGAGATGGCTGACAAAAGTTCCCTTGGACAGCCTTGGCGAGAGACCAGAATGCACGTGTTCTCGAAGGGAGGCGAACTAGTTTCTCACCAATTCTGCCGATGTGCTCTGACTTTGCCTTGGCAGTGACACTTTTGATGGACCTGGAGGCGGAATTATACTTCTTTTTAAGAGCGCTGATATTTACATCCCGGGACGTTGATGCGTCGGCCCAGGTTCGGTAGCACTCCTGCTTATACCTTGATGCAATTTTGCAGGAGTGACCAAACCATGGCTGATTTCTGCCTCCGATAGGCACCACAGATGATGGAATAAATAATTCCATTCCCTGAAGTATCACATCAGCGACAGAATCAGCAACAACGTTGGGATCATCCGGCGCGAAGCAAACTCGCCCCCAAGGGTAGGATGCAAAAAAAGACCGCATCCCGTCCCAATCGGCCAACCTAATGTGCCAAACACGGCGGCAAGCTGCAGATCGCAATTGCGATTGGAGCGTGAGTGGCACCGTACTCCGGATCAGACAATGGTCCGAAGAGCCCAGAGGGGCATCGACGGAGACCTGATATCCATCCGGATGAGAGGTCAGCAGAAGGTCCAACAGGGAAGGTACATGATCCTCCACATCTGGGATCCGCGAAGGCGAAGTAACCAGCTGTGTCTGACCATATGCCAAGGCAAAGTCATAAACAGTCTCCCCGCATGATCGGTTAAGCGTGAACCGAGCCATTCGGCGTGGTGGGCGTTAAAATCGCCAAGAATCACGATCTCTGCGGATGGGACCTGTTGTAGCACGGAGTCTGCAGCCATTTGGACGTGGTCGATGAGTCGGTCTGTGTCGGCATTACCGCTATGAGACCTATAGAGGCACCCGTAGACGCGGGGATGATCGTCGCTGTCTACGCGTAGCCATAGGATGGACAGGTCCTTACCTTCAAGACTGCCGAGGCGTCGAAAACAGAGGACACCTGTGTCTCGGTTAGAAAGAGCAAAGCCGGCTTAGCTATCTCCAGATGGTAGTGGACGGCGTTAAGGTTTGAATGAAATCCCCTGATATTGCAGAAATCCACGGAAAGCGTGGCAGGGGTTGCCTTTGTCTTCTTGCTCCGCTTGCCCCGAGCAGGTTTCGTCTTGAGCGGAATTTCGCCCCCCCCCGCCCCAGAATACGCGGGGCAGCCTGAGCACCCACGCCCAGGAGTGGAGTAGTTTGGTCGTGGATGCTCAGCGAGGGATTCTCCAGGGGTGCTGGTACCCTCCTGGGGTAGTCTTCTGTTGAATTCCGCTACCATGTTGATGGAGGGGGAATTGGGCCTCCGGCCACCTGCACTCACCTAGCGGAACGCAGAGGTAAACCTGGTATTCTGTGAGGTCGTGGTACCACTCCGGTTCGAGCCGGCCCATCCGTGTGACAGCAGAAGCTGCCGCGTGGCTCTACCACTGTTATATTTGGGTCGGTGTTATATTTCTTCAATTAGTCGTCTGAGAGTAGCCACATTTTCCTTAGTGGTCGCAGTTGAGGGTCGACCTTCACGAATTTAATTATGGAGGGTAACACGGCCATGACCAAATTCTGCGTACGAACGCCATAATTATGGTGCTCAAATATGGCGCTTCCCCTCAAAAGTATTATAAAGACGGGCAGTGCAATCTTGCGTAGAGAATGAACTTTTAAAATCCAACTTCAACTTGTAATAAAAACAATTAACACGCGACTTCCCGCCTATATTATTTTAATCAAATGAGTTTCCTATGTTTTAAAAATATAACATTCGAAATTCAAACATTTATGTGCGGCCAGGAGCGCAGAACTAAAAATTATGAATACATCTATACAAATAAATAAAATTGAAGTGTCTGTTTGTAATGTCAAAATTACAGTTTTTTACAAAATGCATATGAAAGTAAATACGGTAGTTATAACTAAAATAGAATTTTTAAAATTTTTGTCTGTCTGTCTGTCTGTTTGTTCTGGCTGATCTCCGAAACGGCTGACCTGATTTTGACGGGACTTTCATTGTTAGATAGCTGATTTCATAAGGAGTAACTTAGGCTAATTTTATTTTAGAAAAAGAATTAGGGTTCCGCGCAAAAACATAAAAACCCTAACCCGCGGGCGAGGTCGCGGGGAACAGCTAATTTTATAATATAATTGGTTGGTAAGTAATAATAATCTGATTACATAGTATAAGTATTTAATAAAACTATTTTTATGGATTTATCGCGTTTACTCTATACAAATAAATAAAATTGAAGTGTCTGTTTGCAATGTTAAAATAACTGCTTTTTACTAAATGTATATGAAAGTATATACAGTACTAACAACAAAAAAAAAACAATTTTTAAAATTTTTGTCTGTCTGTTTGTTCCGGCTAATCTCCGAAATGGCTGGACTGATTTTGGCGGGACTTTCACTAACAGATGATAACTGATGTTATGAGGAATACTGTACTGAGGATACTTTTATTTTAGAAAAAATAATTAGGGTTCCACGCAAAAAATGAAAACCCATGAAATCGTAGTAAATTCCATGCGGGCAAAGTCACGGGGAACAGTTTTTTTTTTAGTTTCCGTTCCGTTTCAGGTGCTTTGCAGCACTCATGATCAGGAGAGGGGCGGGACTGAGGTGTCTTGCCTCTCGAAGTGTCTTCAGCATTTTAATTACTAATTTCAGTCTAATCCATGCAGAATGAGCTTACTGTTTCTTAAAGCTGTTTAAAAATAAGTAAAATAAAACGCAATAAATTCCGTAAAAAAGTTTTATATTATGCTACTCATAACATGTTCACGTATAAGAAATCATTAACAAAGTAAGTATGCCTATATTATGTATTTAGATAAACCAAACACCACAAAGTTTTGCCAACAGTTTCTTTTGAAAAATTTTCATTGCTTCCTTGCTATAAAGCAAAAATTCCATCTTGCTCGTTTTATTTACTCTTACCCTATTTGTCACTTTTATGTTATAAACACGTTCAATGAGTTGACATGTTCTCGTAAGCTACGAGTATGTTACTTTATGTCAATGTTTGCGTGATGTAATTAAAAATTTCGGGGGCGGTGTAGAATTCGTTTTGTTAATCACAAAACAAACACAAATCAGCGTGTACCCTAACATTATGTATTTTTAATTAAATCACCCGTCACTTTTAATGCCAGTGTCACCTTGTTAAATAAGGTAATGGGGCTAACTAACGCGCCCGGACGACAGACTGATGACTTCATTATTCAGGGAGACGGGACATGTTTCGTCTGGAATCGTCGCAGTTACAATGAAATTCAACTGAGCCATATTTACGGTTTAAGAGTTTAGAAAAGTGTGAAAGTTGAACTTAAGCATTCAAATTAATATTTAATATTATTAGAGATTATAAGCTTGAAAAACATAATAATGTGAATGATTAAGGTGTATTCATCATCCTAATGATAATCTTTTTTCGTATACAGATATTTTATTTGTTTTAAATAAAAATTAATACGACCTTTATACTTTAGCTTAACGCTGCTGTGTTTCGTATGGTAAGTGTAGAGAACCGGAGACCCTTTTTACTGGCAAAGAGGCATTCCAGCTTAGTCCTCACGGGTGACAACGCATCTGAATCTTGAGTCTTTATTGAGGACAGATGTAGATGTCTATGGGCTACAGCAACCACTTACCATCAGGTGGACTGTGCGCTCGTTTGTCACCCTATACTATAAAAAAAAACAAAAAACAAAACTTTAATAGTTATTGCAATATTTTTATAAACCTATAAAATTGTATTAAATTACCACTTTACAAATACCAATATATATAATATTTTAGTAAGTAGCTATGATTATAACTAAAATGTACATTACTACAAGAAAAAAACTGTCAGCTAAAAAGTAATCATGCTGACAAAAAGTTAAAATGGTGAATCTTGTGTTGCGTTATTTATTATATATTTCAAACTCTTGTAACTTGCATGTTTTGTAAAATCGGTTCCATGGTATGAAATCACTAACTTTTAATTACATCTTCTATCATATATTTATATACGTATACAGCCAGTGGAGTACTATTTAACTAGACGATGTGGTCGTCGATATGGGTGGTATATATGTGGTATCAAACCCTATATATATATATTCGCCAAAACTTTACTGTCCATTATCCACATTACACTCGTGAACAAATCTGCATGTCTGAGAAATAAGAAAAAAACATTTTGAAGGTATCTGAAGTTAACCAACACGCATTGGGGCAGCGCGCGGACATTTCCTTGCCCTAAAACTCTCTCAGAAATGAGAGGAGGCTTGTGCCCAGCAGTGGGACATACTCGTATATAGCCTGTAGCTTTACTTTACTTTTTTCTCATAGTCGCCTCTGACAACACGTACGGAACGAAATGGGCCGATGGTTTAGTTTACTCCGCATGGCATCTCAATAAATCGCTAGCTCGATAATCCGAATTTTTTTGTTCATTAATATGAGAAATAGATTATCCTTTATTTTTGAACAGGTATCGATCGTGGCTGCATCATCGTGCCGATACGTGTACTGGCAACGTACCTCACTCGAGTACCTGTTTGTAAAAGAGCCTTACCTTGCAAGCGTAGTAACAACATTGATAGCGCGAGATATAACAACAAAATTATACGCTATGAATAACAAAATCGTGACAGAGAGAGGATCTCATTTAGACATCAGGTTGCCAAGTATCTCGCATGCTCTAGCTAGAAGCCCTAGAAAATTGCGTTCAGCGAACAAGCCTCCGCCTCCGACAACAGTACAGCCTGTGCCACCTGAAAAACGACCAAGTAAGTAGTATTACGTTATATTCATGTATAAAGTGATCATCATTACTATCATTAAATCCTATCATAAGTCTACTGCTGAACATAGGTCACCTCATAGATTGTCTTATAAGAGGGAGTTTGTCATGGTTGTCACTCTGTCACTTCTTACAACATCTACAGGATGATATGGGTTAGTAGAAATTCGTATGCCGCTATTACACAGCACTTTAAATATTTGCACAGCAAGTCAAAAATATTACAGAATATTTACACGTGTATACGTATATATACGGCTTACGGTTGGGCTCACGCATCCTCTCATTTCTGAGAGGCTTGTTAAGCCGTTACTCCACCTCATTGCTCCAGTCCGTGTTGGCGCCCGTTACATGTTTTCGAAATATTTATTTCTTAGCCATGCACGTCTTCTCACAATGTTTCCATTCACCGCTGAGCACGTGGTAAATCAGTAATTTTAATTAACAATTTCATTAGCGCCAAGCAACACTGGTATTCCTCGTGAACTATACAATTTACAGCGAGCGCTTACCCCCTGAGATACCACGGTTCTTATTAATATATTAGGCCGCAATACAGGCCAAGAATATTGTAAAATTTATGAACTTTACATTTTATGTTTCCAATTCACATATTGGCTCAGCGGTTAGAATAATTATTTCAGAGTACAAAAGTTTTATTAGCTGTTATTTAAAATAGTATTTGTTCACGCACCTAGCTGTCCCTACTAATATCTACCATACAGGGGCCCATACAGCTGTTAGGTTCGACGGACAGCTAGGACGGGGCCCAATGGCCTTATGGAAAATGTCCTATCCTACTACACAATAGGGAGAAGGCTAGGTGAATAAATAGTACGTACCTGTTCAGAGGCGAAGAAGGCTCCCAGGGCTTGTTCAGGCGTAATTGTCGTGAATGACAGTAGTGTATGAGAAGTGTATGTGTGTTTAACCCAAATTAGCCCTTTTTAATCAGCAGCCACCCTGACTCCGGCACCACCTCCAGGCTCGGTATTCTCCAGCGGCGGCAGCAAGGGAGAATTTCTTTCTTCAATTCACTATGTCAGTTTATCCACTTTATTGTACATTTAACTAACTTCAAAGCGAAACTTAATCCCGTTAATTATAATCAAAAGACTTAACACGCGGTAAGACCGATGAACGGTGGGTCTAAGTTCACGTCGCCACAAATGATTTCGAAAACCGAACGCGACCTTTTAAGGCACTTAACGCAACAGTACAATTAAAAGTTAACTTCCCAACAATTAGTCAACCCGGCGTCTAATATTCTAGACTACAATTCCTGTTCGTTGCACAAATTTGCTAACAAAATCGACACTATTAGGTAACCGCGCGCTCGCGAATTCAACGCGCATGAATACTAAATCTAGACCACCACTGAATCTGGTCGCGTGAAAAAACGCTGCAGCGATCCCTACAAAATACGTGGATTAACCGCACCGCTGCTCTGAATCTACTGTTCGGCCCGACCCCGCCGCCGGTAGCAACCAACTTGATCTCGCACGAACGTCAAAACCGGTAGGAAATCACCGCGCTGAGCGCCCTCTGGCGTCACATCTTAAAACCAGCGTTTGGGCGCGAACAAACCCCCGTCCCGGACATAAGGACTTATGTCCGCGAGCAAACCGGCAAGCGGGACAGGGTCGCGACGGCATGTTGCAAGACCGATGATTCGTTCCGCAATCCGACCGGATCAGGTCTGCAGACAGCGACGCGATACGAAGCGGCCCAGCGTGGCCACCTAAGCTTCAGTGCAGAGAGCACCCACAAGTTCCACATGAACGGCGTCTGTGGAGAGCCAAACGAAACGCACAGATAGTCCTTAGTATGAATTTTCAAACAGTAGGCATAACCAAGCCATCTACCATATAATCATTTACTCAATAATGGCGCCCAATAATGGCTAGGCAGCTGATTTCAATCTGATAATCTCACAACTAGCTAGCCCTTTAGACAAGTAGTCCTATGCTCATATTTTCACCAAGTTTCAAAAGCATCAATGTTCAACTACGGAATTAATTCAAACAAATTAATTTACCGATGCGCATAGATCAAACAGACAAATTAAACAAAACGATAAACGTAAGAGACAGCCCTATTTCTCTTTCCGGATAAATATCTTCGACAGTGCCAACAAAAATGTGAAAACAAAGAGAGGATTAATTTTTATTTCCTTCGGCACAAATAGAGCCATTCAATTTCAACTTTCTTTTGAACAAAGCAAACATAATAATCAAATATATTTACAAAACATATACACACGCATTCAAAGAGCACCTCATTATTACTTATTTTCTACTAACAACCGCTACAACTATGAAACATTTCGCGGAAAACCCAAAGCATTTTTATTTTTAATTTAAAGCATCATTAATTAAGTGCTCGACCAAACCAAATCTAATAGTCCTTAACAGCGTAACTCAACACTCCCAAGGAGCCCTAATATTCCCACCAACCAAGTGGAGGCCACCCAGCGTTGTGAACCCGAATCCAATAGAGCGCGAGCCGCTAACAGTCGACACTCGGGTTGTACGCCTTCACTGAGGCCGTCGGCAATAGAACAGTTTGACAAGTGAGCTGTTGACGGCTCAAAGAATTAGTGGATGCGGTCGTAGTGGGAGCTAGGGCGGCAGCTACCTAGCTGGGGCCTGCATCAAAGGGGGGACGGTAGTACCCCAGCCGCGGCCACTCAGCTGACGGGGGTGAGAAGGGTCTAGCTGACTGCTGAGTGCCCGTGAAGTTCCTCTCCACACGCTGAAGGGGGGCGACGACACCCCCGCCCCTGGGGGAACGACCCCCCCGACTGGTCGGGGGAGGGACCCCTTTCAAACCTAGGGGCCCGGTGGCTGGCCGGCGAGCGCGGAGCGTCGCCCGTCAGAGGGCGTGGCTGAGCGCCCCCGCCCGTGGTGGTCGAGGGTCTGGCAGAGCCCCGAGAGGAGACGCCGTTCGCACCCAGGCACAAAACTGCATGGTGACCACCCCGGCAATGCGGACAAGGCCGCTGGTGCGGGCAGTCTCGTTGGAGGTGCCCTTCCAGATACGAGTAGCACCAGCGGCGCTCCCTGGCGATAGTTCGCCTCGCCGGAACCGGCTTACTTAATAATTCCGGGCACGACGTCACTCGGTGATCAGATGCTAGACAATAGGAGCAGGGGGGCGCCTCCCTGGCCGCTAGGCCACTGTAAGATGGTAGGGAGCGACGCCCTCCCGCGGGAGCTCCGATAGGCCTTGGGAGTTGACGGCGACTTGCCCGGCGGATTCCGCCTCTCACTGGGCACGACTCGTAAGTCGTCAACGGTGCCCGCCGCGTTCTCTATCTGCCGGCACTGCTCCTCTAAGAACCGCAGCAGATCATTGAAGGGCGGAATATAGGAGGCTCCGTCCCCGCCGTACCTCTCCTCAAAATGTATCTGAAGGTCGAGAGGTAGACGGGACAGCACGATGTGGAGCAACAAAAAGGACCATTCGTCCACTGGTAAATCCAGCCGCCTCAACGCATTACAAGCCACCAAGACTGCATTCACCAGGTCCGGACGTAGTCTGGCTCGGTCACTAAGCAGCGGGAGGCTCAGAAGCTGCTTAACATATTCGTCCGCAATTCGCCGAACGTTGGCGTATCTTCCGGTTAGGAGGTCCCGAGCAGTCTGGTAGGCGACGTCCGACAATCTCTAGTGGCCGACGAATCCCAGGGCCTCCCCCTCCAGTGAGGCCAGGAGGTACGCCATCTTCTGGCTCGGGGTCAAGTCCCTCCAGGCGTCCTCTAGGCTGTCAAAAAGACCAACGAAGGTTAGCTATTCGGAAAGGACCCCGGAGAACCTTGGCAGGTCCAGAGTTGGGAGTCGTCCCAACAGCTCCGGCTGAGGCTGCTTCCGAGAGGACTCTGGCAGGCCACTCATCCGAGCTTCACGCGCCTCAGCATACTTGGCCCCAACCTCAATCAACTCGTCCGTGAGCGAAAAGAACTGCTCGTAGTCCGCGAGGCAGGAGTCCAGGACTCCCTTTTCCACATCCGTATCCTTGAGCTCATCGTAAGCCTTTTCCACTGCGGCCCTTCGAGCATCGACCTGCTCGAGCCGCTTACTCAAGTTATAGACCCTATCCGGTCGACCTATCAAAGCATAGGCGCTGGTAGCCCAGCGCAGCTCCGCCCTCAGGCGATGAATCAGTAGCTTGTGCGATGGCATCACTACTAAATACAAATTAATACGCGGCTCAAATATAAATCAAATTAACGAATAACAAATCCAAGTACGACCAAATCAAGTTAAATACAAATTACACCAATACAATTACTGTTTATTAAATTAAATACAAGTTACACTACAATTAAAGGTACACACTACAGTCAATCAGCAAAATGCCTCGCTCAAACAATCGACCCTTCGACAATTAATCTACTATAATTATACGCCAACGCTAATTATCCGATTAAGTGTGATAACCTTATCTGCCTAGTCAAAATACCTGACGCGTACCTAGCCCTAACAAACTACGGGCGTTGTCCCTTCTGCCCGCCAACAACAAAAAATATTTATATGTAATTTTTATTACGTACTATTTTTATACTATATATTTTTTAAATTATATATTACGGCCGGGCGATTTTAGAACCAATCAACCGCGCTCTGCTACCAGCATTGTTCACGCACCTAAATGTCCCTACTAATGTCTACCATACAGGGACCCATACAGCTGTTAGGTTCGACGGACAGCTAGGACCGGGCCCAATGGCCTTATGGAAAATGTCCTATCCTACTACACAATAGGGAGAAGGCTAGGTGAATAAATAGTACGTACCTGTTCAGAGGCGAAGAAGGCTCCCAGGGCTTGTTCAGGCGTAATTGTCGTGAATGACAGTAGTGTATGAGAAGTGTATGTGTGTTTAACCCAAATTAGCCCTTTTTAATCAGCAGCCACCCTGACTCCGGCACCACCTCCAGGCTCGGTATTCTCCAGCGACGGCAGCAAGGGAGAATTTCTTTCTTCAATTCACTATGTCAGTTTATCCACTTTATTGTACATTTAACTAACTTCAAAGCGAAACTTAATCCCGTTAATTATAATCAAAAGACTTAACACGCGGTAAGACCGATGAACGGTGGGTCAAAGTTCACGTCGCCACAAATGATTTCGAAAACCGAACGCGACCTTTTAAGGCACTTAACGCAACAGTACAATTAAAAGTTAACTTCCCAACAATTAGTCAACCCGGCGTCTAATATTCTAGACTACAATTCCTGTTCGTTGCACAAATTTGCTAACAAAATCGACACTATTAGGTAACCGCGCGCTCGAGTCGACTCACAGCAAGCACTGCTAGCGAATTTAACGCGCAAGAATACTAATATACTAATCTGGACCACCACTGAATCTGGTCATAAGTCATAAATAATAATATTCGCCCTATACGAAAAAAATATCATTCGTTTTCTCGAGAATAAAATAACATATAACACTAATTTGTAAATACATAATTCAAAATGGTCCCCCCATAGCTACTTAAGGCACATGGTTGAGCAAAATGTCGCGCTAGTAGTTATTTGTGCAGTTTTTAGAGGCTATCTACTTTTTATTATAAAGATATATCAACTAATAAAAGACATTATATTTCTACATAATCTTGATTCCATAAGAGTCATATCCAATTTTTTTCAAAAGTAATAAATATTAAAATAATCCTCTTTCAACGAAACCATATAAATTTGAAATAATTATTGATAACATGCATCTCCTCGTAAAGTAAGCATTATTTTATTTTGCGATTGACACTAATGGATAGGTAATTTATTAATAAACATTTCTATCATAAATTTTTTTTTCAAAAGACCAAAATTTGATTTTATTAAGAAATTATTTTAAAAACTGGGCGTAATCACTTGGGTTGCTGGAGTCATTGAGCGCTAAGCTCTTGAAGGTGAAACCCGTGTCATTAGTCACGGCGCACGGAGCACACGCTCACGTAATCTTATCAGTTGGTAATATTATTATTACTTATTAGGTTATTTAGAGGTAGTATTATTTGTTTGTTTTGGGTATAATTTTTGGTATTAGTTATACATACATTTGTCAGTGGATTAAATTTGCTTCAATAAAGTTGGTGATGAATTTAAATAAGAATAAAATTCTGGGCAAGTTTTTTTTATTGTTACCTTTGTTAACAACATTGCCTTTAGAACTGGAACCGTGTTTTTTTCAGACGTCTACAATTTATTCAAAATAGAAAAATACTCTTTCTACTGGAGCATTTGTACCTGGTAGACATAAAATATATTCGATTAAAAAAAATTATGATGAAGATTGTTGGCTTTGAATACTTCCATCCAACGAGTTATGGGACAATTTTGTGTCCCGGAGCTTTGTTTGGGGACAATGGGACAGGTGACCGAGAAAAGGGACAGACCCGTTCAAAACGGGACGTATGGTCACTTTATCTATAACCCGGCGACGGCTCCGTGGCGCAGTGGCTTAGCAATCAGTTGTTGCGCTGGGGGCTGCGGGTTCGAATCCTGCACGGAACAAGTATTTGTATGGCCTACAAATAATTGTTCCGGGTCTGGATGTTTGTCCTTGTGCAATTTATGTTTGTAAACTGCCTCCACGACACAGGAGAAAATCCTAGTATGGGGGTAACGTTTTTTTAAAATTGAAATTGAAAGATTGAACCCTTATACTTCTTGTTGATTTTTGTATTACCTTTATTAAAAGTTACCCTTATGTATAAATAAATATAATTACGTATGTAGAAATAAAATCGAATAAAAATAAAAACAAACATGTTTTTTTTCATCTTCATCAATCATTGGGGTGAGGATAATGTCAGCCAGCATAAGTAATAAGCAGGCTAAGTTACAAGGTGCTCAGGTCAAAAATTAGCAGGTACTTTTCAATACGTGACACGTAAAAATTAACAATAATCAAAAACACATCTGCGAAACATCCTATTTATTTATTTATTCTTTATTGCACCAGATATTTGTTTAAAAGGCGAGCTATCTATCTATTTACCTATAGTGTAGGTATCTTTTAAACTCACAATTTTCAATGCTTCATTTTTAATATAATATAATTAATTATAAAATTTCATAATTAGAATACATAATTCTAATATAATGCAACTAATAAACCGAATAAAAAAATTAAAATACATTTATCGTTGTACGCCGTGTGTATTTTTTGTAAAAATAATACTACGTTCGTACAGTAGCTGGCGTCTTGCATATTTCTTACGCGATGTATTGTAGCGAGTCGGCGCGGCGGACGGAATGCTCAAGGTCGTTCGCATGGAGTAGCCCCTTAAGCAGTAAAGTACAATGCTCGTCAGGGCCACACTATGTATTTCCCCTGTGTTGGGGCGTTTTACATAAATAAGTTTCATAAAAACATCCAGACCCGGTACAATTATTTGCAGGCGATAAAAACACTTGTTCTGTGCCGGGATTACCACGGTGTTAATGAGCCATCAAAGCCGTTTCGACGGAACTTTTCTAAATTTATATTTGAATATACTTAATTTTTACGCAGATTATTGTACGCGCGATCCAGAGCGCCCCAGTAGCTCGGTGAAACGCAACGGTGTTGCCGGTACCACGTATGTGGAGGAAGACGAGGAGTTGATACCTCTCGCGGCTCATGAAGCACCAGCTGCCTCATCGGATGACCTCTCTGTAGCCGACAGCTGCCCGGATACTTCCTCCAAATATCATAGCTGTGAGGCCGTGGAAACAGACGACGAACTGCGATAATCAAGATAATTAAACTTTAAAAGCATTTTGTGTTATTGTTATTTATCATCCTAAGCCGAAGTTGGGAATTAAGATACGTTGGGTGCACTAAAAATTTTGCATATTTTATAAATTAAACAATTTATAATATGTCAACCAATATATTTACTGCTTTTTAAAGTATTCTCCATTAACTTTTAAAAACTTCTGGTTAGTTCAAACCGTTTTTGAAAACAAACGGATCATTAGTCTGAGAGCATGTATTTCACGTGATGGTTGGAAGTTATCACGTGCTCTTCTGACTTCGTAAATGTCAAACTTCTCATCAAATCTTTAAATTTGGGAAAATAAAGAAATCGCATGCTGCGAGGTCCGGACTATGTGCAAGAGCTCCCCTTTTCCAGAAGCCAAAAATGATTTAACCTTGTTCACAGTGTGCGCCGAAGTATTGTCATGGTGCAATAGAATGCGATTTCTTGGTAGTTTTTCCATAACTTTTTCAGACACCGGGCAAACAAATAGTGGTGTACCACACAGCATTAACTATCTTTTGGTCATCAAGGATCTGTCTGGGGGAAAATATGCAATAATTTTATGCCTGCGCTTTTTCTCTGCCTCAATTTTGCCGCTTTCGACCGTCTATACAAAAGACTGTTGCTTTCTTTCTGGAATATAAGAATATATACAAACTGTCATAGACATCATTTGAACGTTGAGAAAGTGAACTTTTAAAATCATAAAAATCATCTCCCTTAAATCTTTTTACGTTAATTCCATTTTTGTTACGGATGAAAAATTATTTTAATCATACGACTTTCTTATGGCTAAATATAACAAAGTTCGAAATGCAAACATTTATGAGCGACCAGGAGCGCAGAACTTTCAGTGTGCTCTATGTAGCTTTTTTACTTTTAACTTTGAGCTGAAGAGTTAGGTATGTAGTTATTATGAAGCGATGATCGACACTAGCTAATTATAGAAATAACTGAAGACTAAAGAAATACCTATCCAATATTCTTTTTCTCTTTTATTGATTGAAAGTCCACTGCTGGGTATGGGTCACTTCCACTATAGGCAGGATGTGACTAAATCGTCACGCTTGACAGGTGGGTTGATGATCGAAGTTTCAGACGGCACGCACTTTTGAGGCTGCTGCTCGACGCTTGTTGGGTTGTTACGTTTTTTGTAACCAAGATGTATAAACCGCTTTGTATTGGAAGCCATACGATTTTCCTGGCGTTTCCCATGGTGGTCTCATACGTCACCCACTTGATGAAATGAGGTAGTGCATTCTTTTACTCCGCCACCACACGGAAACGAATAAAACGCCAGCTCCTTAACCAAATTAATATATTTTTTTAATAGCGCGAGATGTAACAAGGTGGTTAGTAGTTAGAAGTACAGTCCGAGAAAATTGCTGATGAGAACAGATTTCACAAAGTAGTCGTGCGGTTATCAAAATTTCTAGAAAATCGCGCAGAGCTAGACCGTGCGATGGTGAAACTTGGCGGCTGGAATTAATCTAAACAATTCTTTTGAGTACTCTTTGTAGTAAACGCGATAGAAAAGGCATGATAAGTAATGCAGCTAATCTATGCGAGAATGATGTTGTTAAAAAGAACTCACGTCGACGATTTTTGCTGCGTTTCGTTGGATGCGGTCATGTTGATAAAACTGGCACTGATGTGATGCATATTGCAAATGTGAACACGCAGGTACTGGCGATGTAAACAGTTTTCAATGATAAGTGAAGAGATGTAGGTTTTCCCTCAATGTTTTCTCTCACCGCCGAGGACTTTGTAAACCGGCACTTATTTTAATTGCATGGTTGCCAGTGTACGATAACGTTATTATACGAGTAAAAATAAGTAGTAGTTAGAGTTAACTAACTGGCAGTGTGCATTACGTGTCGGTTAGAGTAGGCATATACATAACTGCAGTTGTTTTATTTCTCTCGCACTTTAATATAATTGTCAATTTTAGTAGAGCTGATACGAGTGAATGTACCACGAGTTTGTACAATAAGCTGTACAAGAATGCCATGCTTGTTCGGCGTAGCCACTGCAGAGATAGGCGTATTCTCTGTGTAATTTTGAAAACATAAATTGTTATAATTTTATTAATAACCGAACTTTATTGGCATTCTTGTTATATAGTTTTTACTACAACTACGTCATACCAACCCGTGAATGGCTCAGGAGCTGGACGCTAATTATAAACATCATAGAAACGTAAACTTGATGCCCGTCGGAACCAATGAATTGTGAATCACAATTTAAAGTGCCTATTGACTGCGCGTGTTTGACGGTGTAAGAAAATATCGTGAAAAACCTATATGCCTGAAAAATTAAAATACTTTTGCGGCACTACGGACTCTTCTCAACTCTAGAAGATCTAGTTCTAGGCCTGTGCGATAGGAGTGGAATGTATATGTAGACTGTTATAAAACTTTTTACTTTTCACTAATGGAAAAACATGGTCATCAATGATTAAGTCACTTAAATTATCATTTCACGACCATTAAAGATTAATTTAAATACATTTCAACTTTTCTTAGAAAGTATAGTGCATTCAATTCTAGATTCTCGTTATTTATTAGTTTCTAGCAAACAGTTTTTAGAAAATGGGACGCACTATCTGTGTATTTAAAAAGTTTTGCAATATACACAGACAAAAAAAATTAGTCTTCTTGTCCGTTCGCAGACGACTGAAGGAGTTACGGAGAATTGACCGTGCACAATGTATTAGTACCGCAGTGAAAGAAGTCTTTCGATGAGATCGAAGGTACATCATCAAAACTAGAAAACCACCAAATTGTGTTTTTTTACAAATGTTAACTCCGAGTACTAAGCACGACTAGTTCTAGCGGCGCCACGATTTGAAGGCGGATTCGCATACATCTTGACAAGATACGGCAAAAAGTAAGAATAAAATTTTTCGATATCTTCCTTAGTATCCGAGATATCGATACTCAAAATTTCCTTTTTTCACACAGGAATATTGACGCAAAGTTAACAGCTTCGGCCGCAAAGTGCAGCCCTTTGCCCATCGTAGGCATCCATGCTCACCTCCGTAGCTTTGGCTTATTGGTACTAACCTCAGCCTTTACGACTTGCCAAAAACACACAAATTCAAACATAAACTAAAAAACTGGTTGATGGAATTTACGAGGGTGACACTGAAAGTTTTTAGAACTGGCCACTTGTAAACGATATAATGAAAAAATAAGTTCAAATTTTGAAAATGGAACTCTTTACCAATATTATTGTGTATGTATTTTAGTATTTTATCAATTTGTCATTTGTTCACAATTTGGCGGCAAATTGAAAATTGTCTGTGTCACATCAGCATGAATTTAACGCAAGAAAATTTTCGGACAATGATTTTTTATGACTTTCGATGTCATTTAAGTCAACAAGAAAGGTATGATAGATTTCGATTGGCCTTTCACGATGAAGCCCTATCTCGTGCCACTGTTTACAACTGGTTTAATGAGTTTAAACGTGGTCGCACTAATCTTACTTATCTGCGTGAGGGACGGCCTTCTACGGCGACGACTGAAGATAACATCAGTTTTGTGCGGCGTGTGATAGAGATTGATAAAAGAGTGACTTATCAGCAGATTCGAACAAGCTTAAGCATCAGTATAAGTCAAGTGCACAAAATCCTCCATGAATATTTAGCGGTCAGGAAGCTTTGTGCCCGGTGGATACCTCATAATTTGACTTTGATTTAGTGGCCTCGTTCTGCGGAAGGACAGGTCATTACACACACCACGCACACCGCCAAGCAAACAATAGATTACTAGGCGACGTTTCATTTATTTCCGAAAATAAAAGAAAAACTTCGAGGAAAACCTTTTGCTGCGCTACAAAATGCCGTCGAAGACCCCTAAGGGCGAGTGGCAAAGTGCTTTTCTCAGTGGTTCCATCGGATGCAGCGATGTATTGAGGATGGACACTATTTTGAAAAGATATAATAAAACTAACAACTTGCTAATTTGTTCAGTTTTTGATTTTCTAAGAACTTTCAGTGTCACCCTCGTATTTGCTGCAGTGGGCGGGGGCTGCTCTCCCTCCGCGTCATTTACAAAAACACTCCAGGGGTAGGGCAAACAAGACTACGTCGGAGCGTGCTGATTCGGTTTTAGTATTCGATTTTTGAGTATCGATATCTCGGAACCAAGCGAGGTATCGAATATTTTATTCTTACTTTTCGGCGTATCTCGTCGAGATCTATGCGAATCCGCCTTAAAATCGTGGCGCCGTAGGAATTGTAGAAGTCCCAAGTACTGTGGTCACCTTACCACCTGTTATGACTGTGTGAGTGAGTTGTGGACTGTAAATGCTAAATAAATATTGGTAAATCCAATTGTGCATGCCCTAAGCGCATTAAAAAAAATACGTATAATATGATTATACGTATTTTTAAAAGTAGTTTAAATACACACGTTTTCACTACTAACCCTTTTTCTTTACTTTTCAATTTTCCAATAATTTTATGTCAAACTTCAATTTAAAAAATGTTTGGAAAATTCAAAAGTGCACGACTCATAATGTTCATATGATCATAATTTTTTAATTCAGGTGACTCCATAAAGTCCAAGACGTATTTAAGTATAAATATATACATCCTACTTACTTTTAGTACGTACTACTATTATTTATTCTGTGATTTTAAAATATTGTAAAAAAAAATCTCTAACAATCAAGCATGTATGAAATTTTGTTTTTCGAATATTTTGTATTTGTACAGCGATCTTTTTGAGCCACTGCAAACAACCGATAAAGTATCCACTCATGACGGCGTTTGACGCCGAAGTGAGTAAGTGAGGCAGTCTATTTAGTAAAATAAATTAATACAAGGCCGTCAAAACACCGAAAATTTCGACATTTCGCAGCTGAAAAAAAAAATTAATTATAACTAAACAAAACAAAATTAAACTGCCATTTACATTCCATGGCTTTCCACATGATAGATGAAGAGATTAAAAAATAGATTAAGTTAAATCATTGATATTT